TCTAGCGCGACGGTAGTGGCGCGAAGCTAAGTAAAAAAAAAAAAAAATAGCGTAGTAGCCACGAACGTATAATAACAAGAGCCAGAGTTATACCATTGAAAACCCGTTTTAATTTATGTTAATCCTTTGACCAGCCCTATAGGGCAAACGGTTGAACATATTATGTCGTATGAGGTATCAATCGATCAGAAATATTGTGCAGATGGGAATTGAGAACAGAGGAACTCGCAAACGGATTGGTTAAACGGTTTACAAGTTGTAACCAAAAATGTTTAAGTACTTTTAAGACCGATTTTGCATATTATGCAACAAAATATATATTGTCTCCCGATCCGCCGCTTATCAATTCCCACTATTCACATCGCAACAGTGCGGCGACGGCGACGACGGTGCCTTCTCCCGGATGCCGATAAATATCCAGCATTCCAGCGCGACGTACGACGACGACGAGTAACGACGACGCACGGACGATTACGACGGCGCGGTCTCGCGGCGTCGGACGCGGATACAACTGACGATGACAATAAATTGATTAAGACAAACCATTACCATTTCGTAAATAAATAAATAAATAAATTTGATATCTCACCAAAAAATAACTCCGTGTAAAAAAAAAGCTAAGATAAAAAAAAAAAATTTAGTAATGATTAAATCTTTAAAAGATTTGATATAATATGGAAACTAAGTAAAAATGTAATTTTATAATATTACAAATACCTAAGATTAATATTGTAATTTAAATATTAAATACTTAGACAACGTATTGTTTAACTATTCGACAGACGTATAACTGTATAAGTATACTTAAATATAAATACAAATAAATAAGCACTATAGTGTTTTTCATAATTAATACTGTATAATGTATAAACAATATGTTGACTAAGAATTTAACATTACAATATTGATCTTACAAATTAATATTTATTTTTGAAAATAATTTGAAAAAAAGTTGAAAATACTTGTAAATAGTAAATTAGATCTGAATTAATAGACTATTTATTTCATATTTGGCGCTTTGATACTAATTTGTAATCGTTTTTACAGGCATAAAACTTTCTCAAAAATCTATAATTTTATTAGCTTTTTTTATAAATGTTAATCTAACTTTCAAAATATTTGGTTTTTTTTTTAGATTTTCATAGATATTTTAATACTTTGGAGATTTTTAAAAAATATTTTCATATTGACAAATTGTTTCTAGATTAAAAAGTAGAAAAAAAATTTACTAAGGTACTTCATAAATTTTTCTTAAGGAAATTAAAAAATATCAAAATTACTTAAATTGTGTATCTTCTTTTATATGCTTTATAATTTCAAATTTGATGAAATTCTTCAAAAGAATGGAAAGGGAGTGCTGAAAACTAGATTTATTATTATTATGAGGTACCCATGGCACAAGCTACACGCATTTTAGTAATAAGTTTTTATTTATTGAAGTAAAGTATGTGGTTTTAAAAACAATTTAATTTTACATCTTTCATCCATTATTTATAATGAGTTTATAATTACTTTATTTAGTCATGATAAAAATATGTTGCAGTGTTTCTAAGTATAAATATAATATGTATAGATTTATAGATCAAAAACTTCCACCGGAGACTTGTTATTTATTATAAATAATATGTTTCTCTCGGTGCTGATTATTAAGGAGTAAATCATTGGCAACCTAATTTACATATCGTTTCGGCATCGCACGATCTCGGAAGTGTTTAGTAGTGTAAACGATTATTAGTTGAGAAAATCTCCTCTATTACTCCTGTATCATCAGTATCAATAATTAATGTTTATTATAATCACGACACGCAAAATCGAAAGTTATATTTATAAATATCAAGTATATTCAAGGAATCACAAAATAATAATTTTTATTTTGATAATAATATAATAATAAAAATAATATGAATGGCTAAAGCTTTATTATAAATAGAACAAATAATTTCACACAAATGATTTAGACAGAAAAATGAAATTGAAAAGAAACGATAATTATTACTATCAAATCCAAATTTAACTTAGAATAGTTAATAAAATTTCATGTTAGTATATATTATATAGTATAGTGTCGACTATGAAAGGAAAACATTTTATAACTTGTATTTATTATTTACAAATATGTTATAAATAAATTCATATTCCATTTATATACCATTGTATTATAGTTCATAATAAAATATAATTACTTTAAAATAATTACCTTCAAATGAGATTTAATGAAAAAACACACTTTTTACAAATATTTTTATTGAAAAAATTTAACGTGATGCTGAGTTTTGGAAAAATTAAATGGAAACTAAACTTGTTGATTTTTATAAAAAAACTATTTGCTGAAAGATGCCGTGGAACCCTGAAATTTTACGTTAAAAGCAGTCTATGTATTATACTATAAATTTTAATTTTTAATTTTACTTTTTGGATATATTTTATAATTTATAATTTTGTAATTTCGTATGTTGTAATACTTGTAATAAAAATATATATTACTCTATAGTCTATATGATAATATTTAATACATTCATACTATGAATTTTAACATATTTGTAAAATTGTAGGTAATTTTTAATAATAAGTAAGTGTAATAATTAATAAATATTTTAACTTAATATTATAAACAACAAAAGTTTTAATATGCATTTCGTCGTGGTACTGATACAACAAAAATGAGACCGACTCAGCCCGAGTGATCGACTGTAGTGAGCAGAGTATAAAATGTAGATAATAACATTTAATTTTTCATAATAATAAGTTATTTTTAGTTTTTACGTGTTATGGGTGTAGAGCGCGGGTCTACGAACAACTCCGAAAAACATGTCAACACTAACAAAATAATATAATGAATTATTTTATTTAGTTTTGACAGACAATAATGATTTCATAGGAATATAGATAATACATTGAAAACTGAATGTTTGCATTCTATATAATGTTTCTTTTTTAATTGATAAACAATAACATTGTACAGCCCAAATCGAACTCCAATTTGTTATTTTATTTCAAATAATTATATTAAATAATTTATAAAAAAAGCTTTTTTAAATTGTCTTTTTTAGACATATTATAAATGTTGAGAATAAAATATTGAAAAATAGAGTTTGATGAGGGCTGTAGAATAATTCTCTTTATCATCAAAAAAAATTATGAAATTTGATTAATTATACGGGGAAGTATTGTTTTCCCGTAGAGTATTTTTGAGTACAAAATGGCATTGGCACCGGGTGCTTTATAGCTGTTATCAAATTTTGTAAGCACTGCAATTGGGAATAACCCATCTGAGCCAAAATAAAAACGTGCAGTTTATTGACAGCTCTTTTGCTTAAAATTGACTTGCATTAGAGCAGATATAAATTATGTTAAAAATGTCAAAATAATAATTTTATAAAATACCTATTTATTTTCACAATTAAAAAAAAATATTGTGCCTAAGGGTACAAATTATGTATTTCTTGTTAAAAATAAAAATAAAAAAAATTAACTTTTTTTTTCATCAATATTATGAATAACACAAATATATTTTTTTTAAAGATAATTATAGCTATAATTACCTTTATCTGATCTATTGACGTATTCTTCAAAAAATATTGAACGTTATACATTTAAAAGACGTTTTAAAAATAACTTATAATGTTATTGTATTATATAATGTTCTTAAAAAATGATCCACATTTTATTGATAGACAGGCGAGCGAGAGAAAAAATTTTAACACTCCTTTAGCTCTTTATCAACTAAACTATATAATGATAATATAGGAAAAAATACTCTTATTTTAGACACGCACAATATTTAATTAAATTTAACATGTCTCCGTATGATTCATTTTATTATTTATTATTATCGCACGTAAGCATAAATCGAGGACATAAATCTGTATGATTGTTTGAACTGAGGGAACACAACATAGCGATACGCATCACTTGATTAGAAAGGATACGACCAAGAGCAATAGGAAAAGGACCTAGATACAAAGTTAGCTCCAAATGGGCTTTTTTCAGACGTGATTTACTAGAATTAGAGCGAGCACCTTCACGTTTATCTACGTTAGAATTTTATTATTTGGAATTAGAAATATTTTACGACATAATAATTCATTTTACTGCAAGCTACTTACTCCATACCTAAGTAGGCTATGTTAGGTATATGATTGCTTATGCGTGAACCGCTACATTATATACAATTTATTTAGTTTTTTTATTAATATTTTTTACTTTCAATATAGATGATGTGTATATTAATAATAATATAAATATATAATAGCTTATAAAACTATTGATAAACTATTTTTTTATTTTTGTAATTAGGTATTTATACTTACTTGGTTAAATATATTGGCTGTTACATTATTTTCTGATTTGCCTACTGGAAATTTATTTTGCTAAAATGTTTTTCCTGCTATAGTTTGTATTATTTACATGAAATAGTGTATTACGGTGTGAACGGTGGTCGTCTCTTTTGTCGCCTGTAATTATTACAACATAGAGTAATACTCTATTCTTATTACTCTATGGATTACAATGGCCATGGCTGATGACTGTCTAGTGGTTTTACATAATTACCAATAATTATCAGTTATTAGCCGTAATCGGATTTGGATAATTCTAGCATTAGTGTTTATTTTTTTATTGTACAATCTATAAAAATATTTTTACAATAAGATTAAGTGTTGTAGGTATTTGGTGGCTAGTTGTATTATACTTGAATAATGAGATCTTTTCAATAAAGACACTTCGATGTGGGTGTGTTGGTTTGCAGTTAATAAATAGGTTTTGTGTTTATCCATGCTTTAAGCGTGTAGACGTGCAAGACGTAAGTTATTGCCAATTATTCAATTATATTAACATAATGAAACTATTAATATAATAACATGTAGTTGCAACTAACGTCATTATGCCTACAGTTATGACTTATGAGATAATGCCAAAATGAAAATATTTCCATGTATGTATATTATTATCTATAACAATAATGTCTGCGTACACTGGTGCATATCTCGTTATCAGTTTATTCGTTATCTAAAGTACCCGAGTACCGGCCGTTCCGATTCCGACTTCCGATTTTAATACTAATTTTTATTCTTATGAAACAACCAAAGAATTGTTGTGTTAGATCAACGACGAAACCGTCTATTTAATATTTATTACTGTAGTATGTTATATTCTATTATACCGAACAAAACAGTAGATTGAGTATAACGGTTAAAGGTAACTATCGTCTATCTACTCTATCTTATTGCTTACAGTTATTTTTTCCAACTACTGTCGTTTAAATGAGATATTGCTTCGATAAACGGATTGTGAACACATAATATTAATGTCGAAAACCGCAGAGAAACTTACTGGTAATGCTTAGTGGTCTACCTACAAATTTCTTATGACATAAACCTGCTTACCTAATTTTTTGGTTGAGATCATGTTTTATACAAGCCATTTGGTGCACTTATTCACGCCTATCTATTCATACTCTACAGATAATGTTCAGTTAAAATGTGATTTAATAAAGTAATAAGTTGAAATGAATTCATAAAGCATAATATTTTGTAAGGTTAACTAAGGAGATTTCTTTTTTTGTTGTTATATTATGGCTTTAAACACATTTTTATTCTTATAGATAATTTTAATTTCATTGTTTTAGTAGTTATTGTTATAATATAGAAATATTTAAATTATGTGTAGCAACTCCAATTGGCATCGGGAATGTTTTTTTATTAATTTTGGAAGGTTTTAAAAGATTAAAACTATTGCAAACACAAGACAAAATAAGAATTGTTAGTAAAACACTGACCAATATAAAAAAATTGTTTTTCGTTGGGTAAAACTAAACTTGAATTTGTAGGTATGCAATAACTTCAAAGTAAAAAAATCTGGAAAAATATACACTTTTTTGAAATAAATTTTTTTTGATTAGTTGAGTTATGAATAATATAACAATCTTTTATTTTTTTTAGTGGGAAGGGGTATTTGAATGATAATATTTACTGTTAAACTAAATTCTTATTTCTTATTTTAAGTAAATTAGTAAATTATGTTATTTAGTTAGATGGGCATTACTTCTACATCTATCATTTTTATTATTGATAAAATTAATGATCACTTAACACATTTAACAATTGGTTTTTTTTACAAAACACCAAGTGTCATCAATTTATAATTAATTTTATTTGTTTATTTTGACTTAAAAATTAAGTAATAAACATTTAACATGTATTATACTTAAACTTTATTTATTAATAATATTATAAATAGCATGATAATTACCTAAAAACTAATATCGTCCTACTTTCTAAGTATAATAACTAATTTTTAGGTAATATTTAAAGATGTAAACATTGTAATTTCTGTAATACAAATATGTATTTATTTTACTTACTTGAAAAAAAAACCCACACGGTTCATTAGTGTAGTCAAGGTGGGAAAATTAATGAAAATAATTAATTCATGTTAAGTTCAGTTAAAAGAACACAAGATTGATAGGTTAAAATTTAATATAGAAAAAAATATTAACTTCACTCAGTTTAAAAAAAGTTAATTTATTTTTTTAAATTAGTATGTAAATCGCATAAAGAATGACTATGTCTTTATGTCTTTCTAATTAAATAAATTATAAAATACTATTTTATTGAACTTTTATCATAATGTATATTGTACAGTGTAAATACCCTTTTATGTTAAATTATATATTATTTATTAATTTAAACTATACACATCTCAAATTAATAATTTAACAAATATTATTATTTTTATATATTATAGAAATTGAAGGTCATATAACATTAAAACAATACAATTTATAGTTCATAATTTTATTAAAAATTTCTATTATCAACTGCAAAAGTTAAGTTATTTCAACTGTCAATTAAACTCCCTAAGTTCATAAGTTGATTATAAAATAAACTAACTAGTTAAGTTAAAAAGTTAAAAAATAAATAACTTAAATTTAACTTTTTAAATAGTTAATGCCCACATCTGAGTGCAGAAATATGTGAAAAACTTTATTTTATATATGATTATGTGCTCAAATAAGCATCTTTATTTTATGAAAACATCAGAACGGCTGTTTAGCTTTATTTTCAAAGAAACTCGTGAAATAAACATGTCTTCATCATTAAATATAAAAGGTTATATATGGGTCGTAGACACTGCAAATATAGCGTTGTATAATATGATTAGATTTGTAATCAAAACAATCAATAAGAGGACGTCGATATTTTAATCCTAAGTGAGTTGTGAGCATTTTTAAATTTTAATATTATGCATACTCATAACTTACTCTTAAATTTAAAATTTAAAGCTATTTGAATATTAAATATTAATATTTTTTTGTGATTTTAACTTATAAGAGTACTATTAAGATTTGATAGTGTTGAAATACATTATTTGTGAAATTAATAGTTTTTTTGCTTACTATTCTATATTTTATTCAATGTGAAAAATTTTAATTAGTTTTTTTTTAAGCTATCATTTATTTGTATTATTTCTAAGCCCTTTTAATTATTCAAATTGTTATAAAATATTTATAAAAATATGTTTTATATTTATATTAGGTTTAAACAGCATTTGTTCTAGAAGAAAAATATTTTGATCATTATTTTTAGTGTGATGGAAAAAAGAGAGTGGCCACTATTTGTGTATGGTGGTCTATCATCCTGTATTGCTGAATTTAGTAAGTTATTATCAATATTCACAGTATAATAACATAATATAGAAAGTAATACAAAATGTATATTTGTTTTATCAAAAAAATTTAATATTTTTATACACATTAAATTGCTTATAATTGTCTGTTTGTATTATTTTGTAAGGTACTTTTCCTATTGATACAACCAAGACTAGACTGCAAGTTCAGGGGCAATTGGATGGACAGTTCAATAAAATTAAATACCGTGGAATGGTCGATGCTTTTTGTCAAATTTATAAGCAAGAAGGTTTCTTATCGCTTTATTCTGGGTATTTATTTATTTTCGTCATTTACAAATAATAATAATAATAAAATCTTCTATTACAGAATTAGTCCTGCTTTAATCCGTCAATCTACATATGGTTCAATTAAATTCGGAACATATTATACATTAAAACAAGCAACTAATGAATATCTACAAGTGACCGAAGATGTAGCTGTAAATTTTGGGTGTGCTATATGCGCTGGAATAATATCAGCATCTATTGCTAATCCTACTGATGTGCTTAAAGTCAGACTTCAGGCTTTGGGTCGAGATAAAACGGGAATTTTTTTAAATACTAACGTTTTTAAATGTTTTCGTTACATTTATGTACATGAAGGAATCAAAGGTTTATGGAAGGTTTGTATTTAGTGTTTAAAGTGTAAAAAAGGTGGCCAATATTAAGTATATTTAGAGCTGTTACACCCAATTTTTATATTTTTTTATCATAACTGATACAGCCATATACTAATATAAATCACCATAGGTGATTAGTTTGACTTTAAAAGTAAAAAAATGTATAAGATATATTATGTTTATTTATAAAAAATTGGACATCTAATTTAATTACTGAGTGTTCATTTAAATTACATATGTTTTAAAGTATTGCTCGATTTAAAGATTAGGCTTATATTTTTAAAATAGAACAAAATACTAATAATCAATCATAGAATTATAACTGATTTTTGAATAAATATTTTTTCTTAGTTTTAATTTTAAAGCCTAATACTTATATGGTACACTTTAAATAGTTAAAAAATAAAATATCAATGATTAATGAATAACATTTATTTTAATAGGGAGTCGGACCAACGTCACAACGAGCTGCAATTATTGCAGCTGTTGAATTGCCAGTATATGATTATTGTAAAGACAAGTTGATGGAAGTTTTTGGAAATCATATATTCAATCACTTAATGTAAGTTAATTTAATTTATAATAGTTATTAATGCCAATTGAATGAGAATACATTTAGATGTTGATTATGTACTTCTTAAGTTGTATATCAAATAAAAAATTTAATCATATCTTCTATTAGAATGTAATCAGACAATAAATTAATGGATTATTTTAAAATTTAAAGTGAAACTAAAAATGAATAAATATAAAAAGTATAGTTTTTATTTTTCATTAGTCTAATGCCCCATTGCATGAGAAATTAATTAATTTAATGGTTCAATAAAATTAAATAAGATCTATCATGAGGGCCCCTAAATTATGTTTAACTTTTTTATGCAAGAATTTTATTTTTAACAAATAAAAATTATAGAAAGAATATGTAATTTGAAAACAAATTTTTCATGATGAGTGTCATGTAAAAAATTGAGGGGCATTATTAATAACATGATTTTGTTGTATATAGATGTTTTTGGGTAAATCAGTATTTACTGCATATTCTATTTCGATAGACCAGTTTATAATATCATTGACGCAATTATCAGTATTATAAATTAGTTCATCAAAATTATTTAAAAATTAAAATATATTAAACAATATGTTATGTAACTCATCTAAAAGCAATGTGGTGATAATAATAAAAAATATTTAAAATTTGTGGCCTGGAGTTGCATGGTAGTTGGCCTCAGTCACTAATGTGTTCTGAGGTCAAGCATTGGCCAGCATCTCTAGTTCTCGGATGGGTAACCACTTGGGTGTTTAGTGACGAATCTATGGCACACACACACACATGTTCCAATCCTACACAAAAACCTACTGTTCCTATCCAAAACTAATAGCTTTAGTTATGGAACTTAAATAAGATTAATAAAAAAAAAAATCCAAAATATATTGATACAATATAAACAAAAATTAAATGTATTTAGAAACGTGCAATAATTAGTATGTAAATAGAAAAATATGCCTATAAAATCGATACAAAAATACGTCGATTGAATCGAACTGGCGCTAAATAATTCCATCTAAAAATGTTACCTTTGACTAAAATATGTTTCATTTAATAATATCATAAATGTTAGGTATACAATTATTTATAAATATTTTTTTTTTAAATAATTTATTTCATTTTTATACATAAAAATAATCATCTAAAATGTGTAACTTAGTAAGTTTTGTGAGGCTGTGCTTTCTGTTTTTGGTTTATTCACCAATCTAAACATAGTTAGATTTTAATTAGGGGTTATTGGCTTACTATTGATTCATAAGATGTTTAGTAATTGTTTATGCAATCCGGCGGTCAGCATACTTAAATAGTTCATTTATATTATGCTTATATTAGATTGTTTTAGCTAAATATTTTTTGTTAACGATTAAAAAAAATGTTTTAAAAATTTTCAGTTCAAGTCTTATAGCTAGTTTTGGAAGTGCTGTTGCATCTAATCCTATTGATGTTATAAGGGTAACTATTGATTAATTTTAGTTTATTGATATTGATTTATTAAATATATTTTTAGTTATATTATATTATATGATTAGTTATATATTGCAATTGTTATTAATTGTTATATATAAACACTATTATCAAAGCCACGATCACTAATTTTATTAGTTAACACTTTAATTTGTTATATACTTTACCAATTTAAAATGCATTCAAATTGTGTTGAATATTTTGAAAACTACTTTGCTATTCTGGTGGTTTATAATAATTGCTTATAAAATAATACAATCCAAAATAAAATGTTAATAATACATTTATGTTTTTAAATCTGATTTAACTGTATTAATGATAGATTAATTTACATTTTAGACTAGACTGATGAACCAGAAATATAATAGAAATACTCAGGCTGTTCAACAGCACATCTACAAAGGAAGTATTGATTGTTTAATAAAAGTATGTTCCTTATGTTAAGTAAATAGAAACAATGTTTGATTGTTATGTATCTTTTTATTAATGTTATGTTTTAGACTGTGAAGTATGAAGGAGTTCTGGCACTGTACAAGGGTTTTATTCCCACTTTTGTTCGAATGGGACCTTGGAACATAATATTTTTTGTGATTTATGAAAGACTGAAAACAATCTAAGTTTTAAGCCTATTGAATTTAAATAATATAGAGTATCCATTGAGTTAAACTTAATTGTTATCATCTATTTAATATATGAGTGTTTCATATTTTAATTGTAATATAAAAATAATAAAAGACAAATTCTGAGAAATTAATGAAATATTTGAATTTATTATGACACTTTATGTATTTTTACATTTAATTCATTTTACTTATTATAAAATTGTGAACATCCATACAAAATCATTTATAGTGGAAATAAAAACATTACCTGTTTTCAATTATGTTTTAATTATTCACAATTTAATTTAAGTATATTATAATTGAATGAAATAACAGCGAATACATTTAAAAATAAAGTATGAATATAATATTGTTTAATTAAATTCTGTACACAACATAATAAATAAATACCAAAATAAAAAAAAAAAAACCATTATCAGCTTTTGATACTGGAAAATATAATATTCCCAGTTTCTTGGATTTTCATCAATCAATTAAAACTTATTGGAAAACAAAGTTTTACCTCGGTGATTAAATATATAAAATGCTGGTGTGTTGTGTAATGTTTCCCATGTCTTACATTCCAATTCTTCGATTGCTCTCACTTCTTTAAAATCTCCTGCTAAGTATAATATTCCATACATTGACATGAAAAGGCTAACTACACCTTGCACAAATATCTAAAACCAAACAATTATGATATGAAACAAATTAATAAATTACATCAATAATTGTTGGGTAATTCAATATTTAATTGATTTTATGGCTTACATCAAATGGTAATCCATCAAATTCTTGTTCGGTTATTCGTAAATAAGATCGATCTGTATATTTAAATAAAATAATATTTGTTATTTCATGTGTAGAAGCAAAAATAAATCAAAACTTAAAGTAAATTAAATTAATACAATTATATTGTTTGGTTGTATGACAATCATTAAACCTCAGGGATGGCCAACTCGCGAGATTTATCAAATCATTAATTAGTGAGATAAATAAATTAAAACTATTATATATTATCTATGTTAATAAATTTTATATTTTTTTTTTTTTTTGTTAATACTTATATAATTTTATATGTGACCTGCTGAAATGTCAACACAACTACTTAACCAATTTTAATAAAAAATAAAAAAATAAATGGCCCACGGGATCGTAATGTATTTTTCAAAGTGGTCCGCAAAATCATTAAAGTTGGCCACCCCTGATTAAACATTTAAACACATAATGAAACAATAATGAGCTAATGGTTTTTAAAACAAGACTGATAAAGCCATTATATTTTAGTAAACTATTAATTTAATTAGTATTTTAAGTAACAAGGCAGTACTTTTCTTTTTATATATATTTTATTTGAATTCCAATTAATTTTAGTAGTTAGCTAAAAGACATAAAATACAATTTTTCTTTAAATTGATAATTCAACAAGAATTTAATCATTTTATTTATTAAAATCTAAAATTTTAAACTTTTAGTTAGTCAAGATAAATGGGCGAGAGTTAAATACTAAAACAATACTAAAACCAAAGGTGAGTTTGTAGACAGTTGACAGTTTTTTCTCAATATTGTATAACTTGTTATTTAATCATGATTACATAAGTATGTTTTAATTTGAATATGTATGTACAATAATAATCATTTAAAAATTATGTATAATACATTTAAATTTTTATAATGAAATGTCTTATTATAGAATGATAATTGAAAATATTACAAGACAATAAAACATATTACTGGCACTACAATTTACAATGCTCGTAACTTTTAAAAAAAAAAATATCAGCCTATGTAGAACTATAGTAAAAATAATAATATATACAACTAATTATTAATGGAATAATCCATTCTAATAAAAATAGTCTTATTAAATTTTACTTAAAAGTAATATTGGAGTCTGGAGAGTAAATAACAAATAACTGTTTTTAAAAATAGACACGAAAGTGTGTAAGGCAAATTAAAATTTTTAGATTCTAAGTGAAGTAATAAGTTGATTACAATCTATTTTATTTTGATCTAACATCACTGTTTGACAGTAAAAATGCTTCATTCAAATAATTTACTTGATAATCAGGAGAAAAAGAAGAAAAATAATGAGAATGTTTATGCTAAACCAGTTCTTGATAAAATTAATTTCTTTAATAAATTTAAAAAATGAATAACCGTAGATACTTGAAATTTTCATCAAAAGTTTATGTAATAACTTTCTATACATTATTTAAAATATTTTTTATTTTTTCAGTTATTTATAGTCATATAAAACTTGGAATTTTTTAGTTAAATTTAATATAGAAACATAACTATTATTTATAGGCATTTGAAAAAAAATTTGTAAGAAATTACTTATTTTAACGATATTAATTATTTTGTTATAATTTAAAAATATAAATGTTCAGTATGGTTTTTTGTATACAAAGATATATTATTGAATTCAAATTAAACACCCATTAAACAGTAATAAAATCAACGTCTAATGTGTTGCTCTTCCCACTTTTCTACCATTTTTTTTTTTTTAATTTAATAAAAATCGTTAAAGAACATACTCGATATAAGAGTACGTACATAAGTAAATTTTTAAGATTATTAAATATTTGGTGCTTGAATACACTATTTAGTTAATTATCAATGATAATAAAAAGTAATTTTAAATCGTAATCATAATAATGACTTTATAAATGTTAAACAAAAAAATCTAGGTATTTGTAATTAACAATGGTTAAGGTTCGGTTAAAATTAGTATTAATTGTGATTAAAGAGATGAATTATAGATACAAAAATTGTAGTAGTATTGATTTAAATATTTTTCACATGATTGAAGAATTCTTGTAAATTTCGCAGTTGTAGTATAATATAATTGATATACACTTACGCTGCGCTGCTGAATACGCTGCATGTAGTAACGATAGTATGCCTACAACGAATATTTGCCTGTACAAATTAAACATGTCAGTGAAGTTAGGTAACAGGAAATCCTTAAGATATTGTATTAAAACACCGAAGCTAGATGCAAGAAATGTCGACTATAATGTGTAAAAGTTCATAAAATTTACATTGAAGCCGACCACAGAATCAATATTTTGATAGCCATTAAATGCTCTTATCTACTGTCAGTGAACTCGGGAGGAACCATGAATGGTTTTCAAAGCGTGAACAGCGGTTGTAGATAACACTATCAGCAGCAATGATTACGGGTATAATGAAAGATTTCTTAAAAAATGATAATAATATTATTATTTACTAAATAGGTAGGTATTTTATAAACATTAAAATCTTTAACACTCAAATACTTTAAAATTCCTTTTCATCATTTTGACATTATGAGGTATTTATTTTTCTTGTTTCCCAAATAGTTGAATTGTTTAAGAATACCGTTTGACGTTAAATAGTTAAGCGATAAGTGATGTATTATAGCTACCTAATATTCTTATTGTCTTATTTTATAATTATCCTTGAGTAAAATTTCAATCATCCAATAAAAATAATAATAATAAAAAAAAAAAAAAAAATTGAATCAATAAACAATAATAGTTCTAAAAAATAGTACTTACAGTGAAAATTAACTAATTTTTTTTTTGACGCTATGTTATTAGCCTTAATGGTCAATGAATACATTATTTCTCTCCATTGACTTAAAACAAAGATTTTAGAGAACATAGAAACACGACATACATATGAAGTTTGAGATGTATCACTTCAGCTTACAGAAGTTTAGGATACCATATTCGCTTTAGTAGATCCATCCTTTGTTGTCAACCTTAACAAAAGAGCAGATTACCTTAAATCAAACTTCGCAATAATAAGTAACATGTAGTTACTCATATTGCGTTGTTTGTGCTCATACTCCACAGTGGAAGTTTTGTAGATGATCGTTATAGTATCTAGGTACTTGTATATAATATCACATAACTAGATGCAATAGTTCAAACTACTAAGACCAACAAAATGAAATAAAATTCCATGTACTTAAAAACTTTATGTATCCTTCACAGATTCCAAAGCATAGGACATTTTATGATAAATTCAAAGTTGTAAAAAAGCTTGCTTATTTACTAAATGAGAAACATACGAAATACGAAGTTGACTGAAGTGATAAAATAGATTTATATAGAACTGAGTACTGACTTCGAAAGGACTGGACTGTATGAAAAATGAAACAAAAAATGTTTGAATTGCAAAATATACAAATGCGATATTATGTTTATAAACAAAAACGGACTGTTAACCAAATCATTAAGAGATAATATGACGGCAACGCCGTTTTAATGTAAAAATATGTGATGAATGATGATTTTTTTATTTTTTATTAAAAATAAAGTATATTTACAATCTATACATAAGTGTATAATGGAATGATGATTATAAATATTTCTTAACAACCAACGAATACTCAAACAACCTGATAGATTCCACTGTTATTAAAATGTTGTAGATTTTTTAAAAGGATTTATGGGTAAAAAAAACGCATATGGCTATAAACCAATAATTTTACCACTCAAAATCTCCATTCTCCAAGTATTAATATTATTGATAACAATAATATTTAATCATTATTATCACTAATAACATTTTAAAATTTTGTGTACAAGCTGATAACACAGAATGTAGTCGTAATGATAAATTATATTTTTCTAATATTTATATAATTTTTTTTTTATAGTTTTAGTTTAGTTGACGTGTTTATAAATAAAATAATATTCATCGTTTAATTACTAATACTATCGTCTAGTTAAAAAAATAACATAATGTCTTCAAAGAAAAGTTTTTTTTGTATGAATACATTGAAACAATTTGATGCATTTGCTAAACCATTAGAAGAAGTTCAAATAAAAACTGTATGGGGTGGAATTGGTAAAAAATGGTTTTTAACGTGGATATTATAATATTTAATATGGCATCATAGTTGAATATTAGTGTAGATATACACCATATAATTGTAATGCTATATTTTATTTATACATTCTACCATCTGTAATAATATTTTTTTAGTAATTAATAGTTATAATTGTGTTACATTTTACATTAAATGATTTGGTTAAAGTTAAATTAAAATATGTTTATATTTTACAAATGTTTGTGTTCAAAATATCGTTATATTTGTTTTTTTTAATGTATTTTTACATAATTAAAAAATATTCATAGATTTATTTGTTATAAATTGAATAAGATGATCTAACAATGTATAAGTTTAAAAGAATTGAATACAAAGTCGTTATATAATTTATATGTTTCAATAGTCATGTACATGGTTACTGATATATTACAAATATTTTATTAAAGAAATGTAATTTAAAAAAAAAATCATTGTTTTTAGTTAAAATTATTTTTATAAAGCCTAAATGGTAATTAAATTTGTTTATCAATATATAATTAATTAGTTAATTTTAAATTTGTTGAGTTTTAGTTTGCTATCATTTATATTTTTTTGTTTACATTTTCAAGTGTTTATAAATCAAATATTATTTACTGAATGTAAAATTGATTAAAACTTATTGATGTACTTATTGAATATTGATATGTATTTCAAGTGTGTATTTAATGTGTTAAGTCCTGTATTATTTCTTAGTATAATATGTACAAAGAATAAAGAATAATACTTAATAGTTAATATTAAATTGTATATCGTTATAAGATATTACAATTATAATAAAATACTAATCTAACATTGTAAACAAATTTGTATTTTTTTGACACTTCAAAAGTTCTTATAAAAAGCCTATTAAAATTCAAAATGATTTTAATACAGTTAATGACATAGTACACATTAAATTCATTATACTTGACTAAGATAATGTATTAAAATAGTGAATAATTAAATTGTATTTATTTTTTTTTTAGTTTCTTTGGTTTGTTTTCTAACCATTGTTTTTTTGATGGTGTCAAATTTAGTCGAATATCTTGACAACACTCCCACTGAAGAACTTTTTGTTGACACATCACGAAATAAAAAGTTACAAATAAATTTTGATATTGTTGTTCCTAAAATATCTTGTGATTGTATGTATTTACTTAATCATTTGAATAATATTTACTTATATATTTAAAAATATTTTTTTTTTTTAGTTCTTGTTTTAGATGCAGTTGATAATTCAGGTGAAACACATCTGCAGGTTGATCATAATATTTATAAACGAAGATTAAATTTAGAAGGACAACCAATTAGTGATCCAAAAAAATCTGATGGTAAGATTAGGTTTAAATTATTGATGGTTATATCTATTAGGTTAGTTGAACATTTTAATATTTGTTATTTAGTATTAACATTTCATAAATATTTGTTGTAGATGTTGGCAGTAAAAAAACATTTAATGTAAGTTATTTATTTAAGGTATTTTAATTTCTTTAGTATCTAAAAATATTATAAAAAATCTAATGTATCTTTTACCATGTTATAATGTATAATGATTAAGATATTTTTAAAGAAGTATATTGAAGTATATTTAATATAATTTTATGTGATTAAGATGACTTTATGCCTTATATTTATTATGTTGTCTTTGAAAACTAGGATATAACATGGCAAATTTAATGTTTGAAATAATTTGTTTTACTCTGTTGCTTTGAATAAAATAGTGAGTTGAATCAATATTAATTTTTAAGTAGGAATGATATATTGGGTTCTTTATAAGATTTTATTTTGAAACAAATTATGAACATTTTAAAGTTTAAAATAAATTTGCCTTGTTTTGCATTAGTAAGATTGAGACAATATATGCAAGTAAAATATTTTTATTTTTTAAGTAAATATTTTTGATTTAATACACAACATTTTCAATATAATATGGTATCTGTTCATGATTGTTTTGGTGATCATGTTAAAATTGAAAGCATTCTCCAGTCAAGTAGAGCAAAAAAAAGAAAAGATTAAACAAAACCACATTTAAATTTATTTATTTTTATATCAAGTTCATATAGTATATTATACATTTTTTTTTAGTCTACATCTATGGAAAAATCAAATGAAACAGATAATTCTAATAATACTGCAGCGCTTTGTGGAAGCTGTTATGGAGCTGAAAGTTCAACTATTCCGTAAGTATTAAATATTTTGTTAATCTCACTAAAATTTAATTTAATGTTTATATTGTATTTATTTCTGTCTTATTATAGTAGGTTATTTTAAGATTCCGCCACCTAGAATTTAAAACATTTGATTTTATGTAAGAATTATTATTTAAAAATATTTGTTGTTTAGATGTTGTAATACATGTGATGACGTTAAAAGAGCTTATAAATTGAAAAATTGGGATTTCCGTCCTTTTAGTATAGAACAATGTAAGAATCAATCATCTCAAAATGAAATGTATGACAATGCATTTAAGGAAGGTTGTCAACTATATGGTACATTACTAGTAAATAGGGTAAGTAATGAAAACTTAAAAATTGCTGATTTTATTATTAAATATGAATCAGAATCATATAATAAATACAACATTCTTTAATTAAAAAATATTACTTGGTTAAGTAAATTATAATTGATTTCTTTATATATTAATAAAGAATGGATAAATTATTCGAGACAATTGATTTTTATTTTGATAATTATATTTTAGGTTAGTGGAAGTTTTCATATTGCTCCAGGAATGAGTTTTTCGTTTAACCATATGCATGGTAAGTATAATTTTAACAGTTTCATATTGATATTTGAACAGTTAAGTTATTAAATGGTTATTTATAAATATGTAAGTTATTAATAGTATAGTAAATGAAATACTAGACTTAATATGTAATGTTGGCCTGGTGTTTTGGCCATGCCTCCGGTTGTATTTGTGTTATGAATCTACAGGCCTCAAGATTTATGAACTATTATTAATCATAATATTATTTGACTATTGCTGATTGTGATAAAATAATAAAATATAATATTAAATTTTTTTTTTTATGAGAGTACATTTATAAGCAAAATACTGAAAACTAAAATGTGTATATTTATTTCATAACAAAGCTTTTACCTACGTCGCCACAAAATCCAATAATTTTTTTTAAAATATTATTGACTCTTTTTATCTAGAAAGAAATTTAATAGGAATTTACAGTTGTAATACCACATTATTGAAATTTTCGAAGATAGTTAAACCACAAAGTATTTGACCAAATCCGCTATAGTTAATTAGTCAACATTTAAAATTGAATATATAACTAATTTTTAATTATTCTGTTGACTGTTCATACACTGTATCTATTTATTTGTTAAGTAAAATAATAAATTATTTTCAAGAATGAAAAATAAGAGTTGCTATATAGAAAAAAATTGATTTAAAGAGAGATGGTGATAAGATTTACATTTGTGTCATAAATATTGATATTTTGTTAAAAAAATGAATGATTTGTAAGAAAAACATTTTTATCGTGTTTATTTAAATATTATGTACAAATACTTTTATTATATCACTATTTTTTTCATATTAATAATAAAAACAAAAATGTATTTAAAATTAATTTATGAATTATTATATTATAATGAATAGATTATATTTTTATAAGTTTTTTTTTTTAAGTATATTTCTTTATAATGGCTATTAGTTATTACATAATTTTAAATAACTTTTTTGTCATATTTTATATTGATGTTATAGTTACTTTTAATTATTTTATTAAATTTGCATTTTATGTTTTAGTTCATGATGTACATCCATTTTCATCTTCATCTTTTAATACAACTCACATTATAAGACATTTATCATTTGGTCAAAAATTAGAATCAATTAAAAGTCATGGTGATAATCCGTTGGACTCAACTGAATCAATTGCTGAAGAAGGTAAATTATATTTTTATACTAAAAAAAAAAAAAAAAGAATAATTCATTGGTTCAATTATTAATTTTAAATTTAAATATTATTTTAGCTTTAAATAAAAATGCATCAGTTCTAATAAGTTAAAAAATAATAAACTCACAATAGATTATTTTTCCAATTATTAAATATATACTCGAAAAGGAGTACACTAAGTATTTACAATTTTTAGAAAATTCACTTGGTTTGGTAGTGATACCTTTTTATTTTTTTTTATTTCGATTAGATTTTATTATTTGAGAAGTTTTTGGTATTAAAATAATAATACAATTTTAACACACTTGATATATTACATAGTTAGATTTTTATATGTAAACATGTAACAAGTTACATTAATCAACATATTCTAATAATAATTAAAGAATTCTCTATTTGTATTTTGCTTGATTTCTTAAGTATTATTTTTACTATTAAAAATATATTTAATCATAATTATTCAAAAATTAATTATAAAAACACAATTTATGTTTGTGTTTGATTTTTGTCCTGTCATAATGAAAAAATATGTTTTAAAATAACTATTAAACTTAGGTACATACAAATTGATAAAATAAATATAAAATAAAGAATTTCTTAATATTTTATTTAGACATTTTTAATATTTATAAATTATTATAATAATTTGGATACTGATTAATAAAGTTGTTAGATAATTAATTAAATATGTCTCTTACTTATTTAGTAGATATTTTAAATATTGTTATTCATTGTTAAGTATATTTTTTTAACCTCAAACAATATTTAACAAATTTCTAATAAATTCACTTCAAAATTTGCTAAGTATGATAATTAACATTCATAGAATTTTTATTAGGTATATACTTAATTGAATTGTGATTTGAGAACTTACTCTTAATGTATTCATAAGTGATTATATACTGTTAAAATATTATATTTCTATAAATATTAAAAAATTATCCTTCAAATTCTATCATTAATTTCAAAATTGATTGTTTTATTATAAAATTGTATTCAAATGTCTTCCTGTTTTAAACAAATAAATATAGGCAATCTTAAGTGTAATAATTAATAACTAATAAGAATTACACAGTAGTATAAAATATAAATGTTTTAAGTTCTTTTTTAATGAAAATAGAATAATGTATTTAATAGTGCTATTTTTATTATAATTTATAATTAGGGCTCAAAACTTAATCTATTTAAAAAGTACTTGATATGTATGAACACATGCACTTATAATAGCATGAATATGCTTTAAAAATATGCATTTATTTTTTTTTTCTACTTACAATTTTCATAAATATAAATGTTTTTTATAATTTGTACTAAATATTTATTAATAAAAACATGGAATTGCATGTCAACTAGGGATTTTAAAAATACGATATAATAAATAATAATTACAAGTAAAAACCCTCAAAATAAATATACAATATACAATGTAAATAATTTTTTTTTTTGTCAAATTTTCAAATTGTATTATAAACATAATATTTATCATAAAATATTTTCCAATAAATAGTAAAATTGAAAAGTATGCTCTTAAAACTACAAAAAATCATTAAATATGCACAACAAATTTTTAATATTTTTTTCATAGTATTATGAAATTAATTTCAAACTCACTTAGCAATAAATCTAATAGTTCGAAAAAAAACAACATGCAAATACAATAACTTCCGAGCCTTATTTATAATTTAACAATTTATGAGTACATAATTTTTGAAAGATCTAACTTTCAAAATTCAATGTTTTGTTCTTACTTAATTTAACTAGTTTAGCTTTCTATTAAGTTCAATTAAAAAAATACTATGATATTATTGAATGTATAAGTATAATATCTAAATGCTTTTAGAATCAGGATATCAATAAAAAAAATATTTAGTAATAATTAAGGTTCGGTAGTTATAGGAGCTAAAAAAGGCAAAATATGCTCGAAAAAATTACAAAATATGCATTATGTTAAATATGCAATAAAATTATTCTGAATTCCAAAACAAAAAAACGTCAAATGTTGTTATTAAATTAATAAAATAATAATATACATAAAGACTGTTTATAACTGAAAAAATTTAAAACTGGTAAGCATTTTGACATCTTATTGAGCTAAAAATATAATTAAAAATATTTTTCAGTATTTTTGTAGTTACAATAAATACCTTTGTTGAAAATTTTAAGTTTTATATTCAATATTAATTGAAATATATATGTTAAGAAAAGAAAAAAATACATTTTTTTAGAAAAATATGAAACATGCATAATATGTGTGTAAAATCGACAAAATATATAAAATATGCATTTTCAATTTTTTAACTCTCCATTGTATAGATCAGATTTCTAACTTGGTCTGCTATAAATTAAGAGCATACAGAAAAATATTCGATTCCTACAACTTCGAGCCCTAGTAATAATGTATAATGTATATTTACTTTTAAATATATATAATTTGTAACATAACCAGTATAACTAAGTTCTATTTTTAATATTATTAATATAATAGTCTAATATACCACTGTTTACTGAAAATTAATTATATTATAGTTTACATTCAGCCTTCAATTACATAATTGTTGAGAGAGGGGTATTAAAAAATGAGTATTTACCTTGGAGCCTCAACCTTATTCTTAGACATTGATTATATTGATTATTATAGGATTAACTGATATAAATGTTCCAATGAAGGAAATGTTTAATAAAAATATATTTAATTAAATTAAATATTTTACTTACCTTATAGTATTTTATAATTTTTAGTATTGTTGCCTGTTGTAAATTACCATGTATTTACATTTTGGATTGTAGATAGATTTTTAATTTTATAACATAGTCACTATGAAAAAAGATACCAAATAACTGCTGAATTTGTTCAGTTTAATAAATATGAAAATTATTACGGAAATACCCATGTTGTAAAAAGCAAAAATTGTGGAAGAAACAAAATATTAATTTTTTTGTAAAAGAGCTATTTAAATTGTTTTTGCTTATGTTGTACTACTTAATTATTTAAATTATTATCTACTTTTGACTTTCAACTTTTATATTTTCAATAGACCATTGATGAGTAGGATTATTATAATTCAATGGCAAATTTAATTTAACCAAATTTAAATTAATTATAGGTAGCATTCAAACTAAAATATACTAAAACAAAAATGTATTCTTTATTGGTATCAGAAATTAAATTTTACATAAATATAGTATTAAAAAAGAAATGTATCTAATAATAAATAATTATAAATCAACATCTAAGGGCAGCGCCAACACCCATAAACGTGCCGAACGTTCCGCCACTCTGCAGCATAGTTTTGCCCATACTGCCAATGAGCTCTCGGCCCCTGAACCCAGACCTATATTGAATAATAAACGTATTTTGAATGCACGATATAATTATAATGTAAATGTATAGGGAAAATACCTCAAGCCTCCTAAACCGCCGAATAAAATTCCAATAGTTATTCCGATCGTGGCTCCCATCATAAACGAAGTCGATACTCTGTCGTAACACGATGGTTTACCTTGGCCTCCGTAAAGACTTGTACTCGGAACCGGCATCTTTTCGTTTTACGATTTCAAAGTTTCAGGAGCAATATAAATCTAAACGTCTCTTCGTTCAGTCGTACGTTGTTAAAATGTCCATGCAGTTTTTTTTTTTTACTTGTAATCTTATCATACATTATACCCTTCGTTATCAATTATTATAATGCGTGTACCATAGACATATGTCTATGGCGTGTACCATATCATGTACATCATGGTTACTCATAATAATTGCGCGTGTGTACACTGTACAGTTTGTATTATATAGTTTACAACTATATTATGCCGCCGTGATTAAGATAAGCGCCAAATGTAATTATTTTGAAATTAAAATTTTATTCTTATTCTTATTTATTTTTTTTATTTAATTTTACTTAGAATAAAAGCTTTAACGGCTGGGTAGTTGGCCAAAATTTCAATTCGAATTAACATCGATTACATTTTTATCAAAAGTTTCTTTATTACAGAGAATGTTTATGTATTTTGTGTTAAAATTTCAGTTACACACAGTCAAACAAACATTAAAAAAATAAAAATATAAAATATATTAAATCTATTTTATTAAAAAATCAATAGGTTATGTCAAATTGACTACCTTTCCAATATTTAAAACTATAATGACAAATCAAGTGCAAATAGGATATGTGAATATTATGTTATTATGTACAATAATAACATACCTAGTAATTTATTATGCATGTAAGTTAGTGGTAATTTTAATACAGGTATTATCATTGATTTTAGAATATATCAAATCAATGGTAGCACATTAAAATGTGTACATCTAAACATAAATTATATGTGTAACGTGTATATTTACATCTGTATGTTGAACATATTTTTTTTTTTATAAAGGTTTTTTCATCTCAATTATATTTTTACACGCTTATGACCAAAAAAAATAATTCTCGGTCTGATATATTGACCCAGTCCACCCTTGCATTTAAGATGATGTTTCACCCGCATGTATTGTCTCCGTCTTACACATGTACGACATAGTAAATTTTTGTTCATCAGTTTCAATAGTGTGCTTTTAGTTTTGATATTTGAGTGAATTGACCTATTATCAAACTTTTAGTTAAGAACATTATCTGTGTTCTTTTGTTGGTTTTTTACGGTATTTTAATTTTTAAGTAAGTTATGAGTATGAAAAATATAAATGCTTAAAAGTGCTCATAACTCACTTAAAATACGTTACTGCTAGGATGAACAAATGTGATTGATTGATTAATGATTAATAACTAATTAACAAATTATTAAAAACTAAGTTATTATGAATATGCATTTATTCTATTTGAAATTAAAATTAGGTAGGTATACATTATTAAAACAAATGATTGGTATATATTTATTTAAATTATATGTAAATAAAAATATATTAAGAATATTAATTATCATTTATTTACATGAGGTGTGCTATTGTATTTTCAAATTAGGAGTTGTTATATAGAAATCAATTTACTTTTCATAAGGAAAAATCTATTTCTATACATAATTGTGTGTTCAAAATTGTAGTACAACAACAAACATGTTAAGCTATTGTTTACCATATCAGGTTGGCAAGTACTTTTAAAATTTAATTATTAGGGACAATTTATAACCAATAAATGTAAGGTCAAAATATAATAATAATACTTTTTATTTTTTACAATTCAACATTTAGTAGAAAATTCTAGCATTAATTATTAAAAACTATTAAAAAAATGATATTAATTTATTATTATATTTAACCATAATATCGATCAGCTTTGTTAGTTTGTCTCACTTCTAATAATTTTTTTTTTTTTTAATTTACAAAATACTAAACAGTTTAAACATTATGATTTTATTTTAAAGTTTAAAATTTTTAATAATGAATACCTTAACGTAATTATTGATTTCATTTTATTTAATGAAATATGTATAAAAAGAAACTCAAGGTTGGATCTTTTGTTGAGTTTTGCTCTCTTAAATATGCCACTAATAAGTTTGATACTTATGAATATACACATATTTATATAGTTAAAATAGCTAATCATTCGATGATAATTTAATATTTAAACTTAAATAGTAATCAATTAAAATACATAATTTCTAAATCCTGTTTATTATTTTTGATATTAGTTATGTTATCTTATTTTTAACATTCTAAATAAATGATACATTATTTAATAACTTTTGTATTCTCATGTAACATAATTTTTTTAATCTTTTAAAAAAATAATGAGCCTCACTGGAAAAGTTTATTTCGGGGCCTATGATGATTGATTTCTAATAGTTTTATGTATCACCCATTCATTTTAATAAATGATACTGAGCTTATTGAGTTGTGTGCTATAGTTGAGTGATATGCTATTGAATTCAAATTTAACATATCTATAATAAAGTTTCACTTGACGATGTACAACAAAGTGGTACTCAGTTATATATCTTTTATTTTTTAAGCTTAAAAAAAAATAGCTATTTACCCAATTTATGATTTGTAATTAATAATTATTAATAAGCTATAATACTTTAAGTATTTTTACTTTTTAGTATGTATCTTTTTTTTTTGATAATGCATTGAAAGAAAAATTTATTTTATATTATTATTTAAAAAAATTTAATTTGCTCATAGAAATTCTATTTATGTTGACATAATAATACACTGTTAGATTTGTTCTTAAAACATAAGTATAACTTATAAATTTACCAATTCACTTAAATCTCTTATAATTGCTTATGACTTATTTATAATGAATTTTTATTATTACTATAAATGTGTTAACAAATATGAATAAACTTTTAAACTTCTTTAATATAATACTTATCAAAGTACCATAATCTTAGTCTTGTTGTTTTTTTTATAATTCTTATTTTAAAATTCTTTATTTTTTTTTTACTACTTTTAGGAGCAGTCATGTTTCAGTATTATATAAAAATTGTTCCAACTCTATACCAAAGGAGAGACCTATCAACGTTGTCTACTAACCAGTTTTCAGTGACCAAACACAAAGTATATTATTTTATTGTATTGGATATCATAGAAAACAAAATATATTTAGGTTTTTGTAATAGTTATTTTGATTAACGAGAATAAGAGAATAAAACATGATCACCAACTGATTACTATAGATTATATTTATTACATTACTATTTGTATAATTTTATAGGTACAGGCATTTGATAAAGGTCCATCAGGGGCCCCAGGAATATTTTTCAGTTATGAATTTTCACCAATTATGATCAAGTTGACTGAAAAACCGAGGTATATTTAAAATTTGTATACGTATATTAAATAATATAATAATTATTAACTATTTGTCCTCTTTAATTTAGGTTATTAGGTCATTTGTTCACCCAGTTTTTATGCAATATCAGTGGAGTTTTTATTTGTTTCTGGATCATTGATATATTTATGTACAAAGTATCTAAGGTGTATAATATACATAAGAAACAATTACCTAATTCTAATAAATAGAACGAATAACTTTTTGTAATATCAGTGGCATACTTTAGAATATTTAGGCGTCTGGCTTAACAAAGGTTGTTTTCATGCCTTTTTTATTGCAATTTAATTACACAGTGGAAATGTGAAAATTTTTGTTTAGTGGATTGTATTTTTTTTTGACAAATTTCATGATTATGGTTAATAACTGAGGAATAATATTTTTTAACAAACTATGTTCAAAATATAAACGTATAATATGAGTATAAAAATAAACACTTAGCTAAAATATGTCACTGATAATATTATAACCTAAATTATTGTATTCGAATATATTTAATAAAAAAAATTAAAATAACATCACTATGTGTAGTTTATTTTTTAAAAAACAAAATTATTTATTTTCTTTTTTTATGAAAAGTTTTGCTTTTAGGACCAGCATAAAACTTAGGTTTACGTAAGTTTTTAGGAGCCTTTCTAATTACACTTAGTCTTTCTTTTTTGTGTTTCTCTGCTTCTATGTCAGCTTTCTTGTATTTCTTTTCCTACAATAACAATAAAATATATTAAAATACAATTAAGTTAAGCAATTAATACTTTTTTAATACATACTTTTTGTGTTGAAAATGTTAACTGTCGATTACCACTAGATAACATTTTGACAGAATTGAAATTTTCTGAATTCATTCTTTCACCCAATGTTGCACTATTATAAACATTTAATAAAAATTATTTAATTTTAATAATTTTTATAATTTATTAGATGTGTTACCTAGAATTTTGAATAGAATTTAATCTATTACTATTTGAACCAACAAATTCTTCTCCTTCTTTAATTTCATAAAATTTAGGTGGTTTAATTGTAGGTTCATTTTGTATACTTAAATTGTTATCGTCACTATCATCGTCATCATTACTATCTTTTTCAGATTTATTACGTTCCTCACGCTCACTTGCTATTCTTCTTCTTTTAGCTGATCTATACTCAGACTTTAATTCTTTAGCCCATTTTTGATCATCGTCTGAACTATATTCATCACTACTTTCCTCAGAACTAGGCTTTCCTTCAATTTCTTCCTGCAAAATAATTTTATTAATATTTTGTAATGTGTCATAGCAAGTTATAATTAAAAATATGTACTTCAACTGGATCAAATTGTTTTTGAATTTGTGATTCAATTTCTTTTTGTTTAGATTTATCTAATCGTTTCAAAACTGGATTCAATAACCTATAAATTTTATGAAAATAATATAAAAAGAATATAATTTTATCTGTTACTGAAGATAACAGAATTCAATTTATAATCAATGTATAATGAAATAGTATATATTTTATTTTATACAAATTAACAATATTGAAAATATTTAATTACTTGTATTCTTCAGCATTTGTATCAACTTGGAAAGCTGGGTTTTCAAACAATGCTTTAAACCGATCATCTTTTAATAAGCTAACAGTATTTTTTTTATTTTTCTTTCCTTCTTTTTCATCATTAATTAATTTCAAAGCAAGTTCTTTGTTAACAGGAGGTAATTTCTGAAAATATTTGAATAATGTCATTGTTTGAAGTTAAATTATTAAATTACTAAATTTTATACTTGAACTTGAACACGATTAGTTCTTTCAGATTCAATTTTTTCTCTTATCTTTTTCCTACGATATTCTTCATAAGCAAATGGTTCCGCGACAGATTTAGCTTTTCTGTACAGTCTAATATCCACAAAATATCCGTGCATATATGCTTTTAACAAGTTTGTTCCTGAAAAAAATTAACACATATTTGATGTTTTTATTTCATTAAATGTATAATTCAACAAAATTAAATATGTATTTACCAATTAAATGTGATAAACCAAGTTCTTCTAGTTCATTTTGAGTTACAAATTTATAATCATCATACACTGTTTCTTTTTTGGTTTCTTCTAACTCTTCAACTAAAGCATCTAAAAATCCACACCATCTTGGGGCTGGCCCTAAGCTCTAAACACGCATTAATTGATTTTTATGTCAAGTTTTACCTAAGTAATTACTTAAAAAATAAAACGAGATATTTAAAAAACAAACCGGTATGTAGTGTGTTTGAATTTTTGCATTTTCATTAGCAATGAACATCATCCCGGTTTGTGGAATAACACAGAGATTATTAAATTGAGTTTCATTTCCAGATTCAATAGCAGCAAATAATTTACCCTGTATAATTGGATATTTTAAATATTTATTTTTTTTATAAATATATTAAGTTTAATATGTTATTATTAATTAACAATGCTCACAGTATCCTTATTCCATATTTTCACTGAAGATGAGTCCATAGACAATACATTTTCATCTTGAAATGCAATATCTCTAATAGGTAATCCAAACAAATGATCTTTAACCCTAAATGGTTTGTTAGAACGCAAGTCGTATAAAAGTACTTGACCTGTAGCAGTACCAACACCTAATGTTAAAGCATTTTCAAATTCCAATGCAGTTATAGATGGAAATCCGTCACTTAAAAAATAAAAAATATACAGTAATTTAATTGAACTGTAAAAATTATTATTTAGCTTACACAATATTTGTATCATTTGTAACTGAGCTTAGAGCGCAATCTAGTACTCCAATACTGACATGAGCTCTAGGATCCCATGCTTCAACTTTTCCTTCCTTAGTGCCAGTTAAAAGCATATTATGTACAGGGTTTATAGCTAATTTGTTAATTTCATCACCAGCACTAGATACAAAAGGATTCAAAAATTGCCCTCTATCTAAATTCAATCTATAAATATCTGAACTGAAAAAAAGTATCGAAAATATTATTTGAAAAATTAATGATAAGTGTTAAATCACAATTATTCTAATTTTTTAGTAAATATATATTTTTTTGATTTTTGAAATTGTTATTTACCTATTTCCTCCAATATATAAGTCACATGTCGGGAAATGATATTTCATGTCTTGGCCAAATTTTGGAATGCGTAATCTATAATAACGTCCTTCTTGAGAATGAAATTCAACATAACGGTCACATTGTAAGATCACAAACTTAAAATAAATCGTAAAAAAATTTAAAGACATACAAATATGTAATAATGACATTCAATAATGTATTTACTTTGCTATAATCATTTGAGAGTATTTCAAAAGTAACAGCTTCAGAATCAAAACATCTTTCAAATTTCATGGCTAAATTATTGACATCAAAACACTTAATTCTAGGCTTATAAATACCAGTAGCCAAAATGTATTGTCCATCTGGCGTTACTTTTACCGTTGTGCTAAGACCAGGCATATCAAAGTCTTGTAATAACTCGATTCGTCTTTTTAATTCTAAAAAAAATATTTATAGAGACAAAACAAAAATATTTAAAACGTCAGCATTATGGTAAAATGGTTAAATAAAAATATTAAATTCATAATGCCAAAACATTTTAGAGGTAAAAGTTAAAATGTATGATAAAATTTTAAAACTATATTATAGGTAAATAATATAGTTATTTTAGGTGAGAAGATTTATCATCAGCTTTTATTTTAATAATTTTATTAAAATGAATTGCGAATTCAATAATGTTGAAGACCATATTATTATAGATAACTTAAATTTATAATGCAGTTAATATCAGTAGTTAACAAAAACTAGTTCAAAAATCAAATATTTAGAAACATTTAGGGCTATAATTATATTATATTTTTCTGATTATTTTGATGTGCCATAATGATACAAGTATATTTGATTTATTTAAAATGTTTTAACTCAGTTAAAATTAAATAAAAATAAATAAAAATCATTAGATTCTTTTGATGAGATCATGCATTTATTTTGAATTAAAAAGTACAAGTATTAGGTACTATTTTTGTATTAAAATAATGTTCAAGACAATCACTATAGATGATTATAAAAAATTTGCTGGACAACTAATCTGAGAATTTAAAATTTTTTTTGTTATTCTCTGTCATGCTATTTGATTTTGGTTATAGTAGTGTACATTTAAGTATACACATTTTCTTTCACAAAATAATTTAAAGATATTAATGAAAGTATAACTTACCAGGATTTTTTTTTAATAATGTTCTTCTTTTTCTTTCGGAAAGCCACTATAAAAAAAATTATATAATTTATTATACTATATTAATTAAAATGTTTTTTTTGATTTTAAATATTGTTCATTTTTTTATACATTATAATAAAATAACAATTTTTAATAATAAACGATACATATATTCAAATAAATAAGTATGTACATTTAAAAAACTAAAAGCGACATTTAAAAAAAATAATTTTTTGCACATGGTCTCATGGATAAAGAATGAAGTCAGAGAAAGTATGACTATTAATCAAATATAATTCAGTTTAGTGTTTAAATGAATTAATTTTGTTTATAATTTGACAAACACGAAACTACACAGTTGACATTTTTAATAATACAAAAGGTATAATTGAATAAAAATAAACCTAGTAACATGATTTTAATTCCTAAACAAATGTGTATTAGGTAATTAATACAATAATGGAATGCAATACTTCTATTTACAAATAAATATATATCATAGCGGACAACTTACTTCTGGCAATGACTTTCCACAGCTTAGATTGTAAATTAATGGACTGTCCATCGCTCAAGAATATTATTGTTTTTAACGTACTCTAAAAAAATTCAAGTTTCATACGACTTCCAATACATTTTTGACTTCACGAGACAACTTACTAACAAGTAACAACAAACACATGGCCATGTGAATGTTATCAGCTTACATCGATTACGAATCATTGATAACAAATTATATTATCAACCATCTAGTATCTACTGCACCCACGAATAGATACAACATTGCATACATTTCATATTTATGCGACTACTGCGACTGTGCTACACCATAAAATATCCAAAATCCGAAGACCGCGTACTTCTGAGAATCTGTGGCTTTTGAAAGTATAATCTGCGAGGTAAGCAATTAATAATACATAATAATTATAGATTTTATAGAGTTTTGAAAACATTATTTTGTCCTCGACTCGTGATTTTAAGACATTTTAAAAATAAAATTAATTACGAACATTATCAAACTCGCTATAGTTAGATCCTACTGATCCTAGAGGAATGTTGGAAGTCGATGATTCAACCAAGCAATAATTTCTGTTTAGTATTATCGTACAATGAGTTGTTCGTTAAAACGCATCGTAGTACAAAGTACGAGTCCCCCCCACTTCGGACGATAATATTCGATAGTTATCTATTTATCATCATGGAAATTTGTTGGCGTCCGTGTCAATAATAAAAAGCTGATAGTTATTCACTGGGAATTGGGATATTGTGAATTTATCATTGTTGTTGATATTTTCGTCGCCGAGTGTCGTTTACTGTTTAGTATAGCTATTTATTAACACACGCTCACTAAGCCACTTAGGTAGTTATTATTTTGGCTCTAAACTCGTATTTTGTTTATAGTGACAAATTAACTTATTTGAATAACGTTAACGTACCTATTTAAAATATTGTATTTCAAAGATATTGTCTTGTTTGTTCTTTTTCTGTTAATAACTCAAATCACCAATTCATTGTTGTGTTTTTGTACTAAAAAATTTAATTCTCTTCAAGTTGATTAACAATCAATAAACATTTTCAAATTGTGAGTACTTTTGATATTATTCAATTAAACTAATATTTTTGGACTGTTATAATTTAATATGTTACAAATGTTGTTTGTTTTGTCTTATAGAATTTATTTTGTAGTGATTAAGATTTAATGTATTTAATTAGGTATCAAACTTTTAAAAATAATATTTGTACAATGTAAAACAGTATTTAAATGACTGTAATGGTATTACTGCCACTCTCCAATTTATAACCAAGACTAGTGAATGGTGTTACAACCTATTTCCAATATTTCTTGGACATTTTTTTTACTAGAAAACTTTCAAACTATCAGCAGAAATACTTAATCAAACCTTGTTTATAATTTTATATTGTCTTGCACGGATAATAGTAGCTATTAAAAATTATATTATACTCTTAAACTGAATCAAAACATAAAACTATAGAAAGATTAATATTTTAACCTGGGTAAAGTCGAATAATTTAGAATGAATTTTTATTTTATTGATTTTTATAACTGGTAGACTTCTGATAGGAAAAATGACAAAAACAGTTAAATTTATATTTAGAGACTGTTTTTTGTCATTCACTGTATACACAAAGAAAAATCATAGTAATACTATCTACAGTAACTGATAAATATAATATATTACACTCTTTACAATTATAATCTGTATAAAATCTTTAAAATACTATTAAAGTATTCTTAATGCTTTTATAATATTTTTTGTTTAAGTCATTAAAATAATTATCATATAATAATTATATGATAATTATTATCATAAGTATTTAACTATCTAAATCTTATTTAAAAATAACTGCAGATTTATTGATTATAAAATTTTGATTTTTAATATGTTAATTTAATTACTTTTTAGTTACAGTAATATACATATTAATTAAAATTTATTTTCAGTTTGGACAATTTTTAAAATGAGACATGTATACCCACATTCCATGGCAAATAATTCAGCGTAAGTGATTATTAAATAAAAAAAATTATTCATATATTTTGAATTTATTTATATTTTTTTCTATGAAATAAAAGTAAGTAATAACATGAAATGTATTTATTGATTTTTATTATTTAAAAAATATTGATATTAAAACATAAAATTGTGCAACAGAAAAAAACTACCAATAAATATAATTAACAAAGAATATAATAATTTTTATTCAAAAATATGTATTTTCCAATTATAATTATTGCAATATTAAAAAACAAACATTAAGGCTCTTCCAAAATATTGACTGAAACAAAAGTGAATAGTAATTTAGTATTTACTTATTACGTTTGTTAGTTCTGTTGATACTGGTTTATTTTAGTCCCACTACTCAGGTTTTTTATTTGATGGAAAAAATATACCATTACTATAAAGTATCTATCATAGATATTTATTCCATAATATCGAATAATAAAATAAATAATATTGATTAAACATCACAGTTTGTATTTTCAGCCGTTTGTTCGTATTTAAAATTTATTTTAAAATTTTATTCACACAAGTGCCTGATATAAGTGCTATAATTCAATTTCTTCAATCTTAAAATATTATTAATAAATAAATTCATTATTTTATTTTTATACAATGTATTTATTGTTCTATGGATGGCGGTGCTATGACAAACCAGTACTGTTCTGTCTGTTACATTCTGTATTTATATATTTTTTATTACTGGGATGAAATCATAATTACAACTTTATTTTATTAATTTAGATTTGTAATTACACTATCATTATACTATAATTATTTAAAACTAAACTAGTTGGCAAAAAGTAATGTTATTGCTATTAGGTACTTTATTCCCAGTAAGCTTGATGTTTGATTTCAGAAGCAGAAGTCAAAATATGAGTTCACAGCCAGTTGAACCAGAGTCTGATGTTACTGAAACTAATGATAGTGACACTGCTGATTCATATCAAGTTGTTTCAAGTACTACTGATGATCTCTTGACAAAAGAAGGTAAAGGTAATTTTTTGTATTTTCTTTTTTTAAATTTAGTTTTAAGATTTATGTAACCAGTCTAAATTGAGATATAAAATTTTAAAAAACAATATCTATGTATTGAAGTTAGTTGGTTGTTGGTTTAAAATGATTGATTCTCCTTAAACTGAATAAATAGAAGATAATGTAATTTTTCAGAACAAGTAATAAAATCAGTTTCGATTACTTAATTCATAATAAATGTTTATCTCAAATAACATAGGTAAAAGATTTAGGATTTAAATTAGCGCCGTCTTTATGTTTTATTAATTATGTTGAGTTTATCACTTGTAAATTTTATACACTTTACATAATTTAGGTTATATTTGTTATAATACATCGGGCTTTGAACAAGCCAATTGCTTCATAATATTATATATTTCCTTATACTCATTAACACTTTTAGATAATTAAAAGGGTTCAAAAAATGTTTTCTTTCTTTTGCTGGTTATATTTAAATAATTAGGTACTCACTTTTCTTATGAGTTATGACTATGTATTAGTTTCAAAGTTTTTTAATTTAGATAACCTTAATAATTAGATAGAAAGAAAATAATTCACATAAGATTTATTAATAACTTAGTTTTTGCTAAAATTAATGCTATCTGTTTACTTAATAAGCTTACTTTTTATATAACTAGAATTGGGTCTCATAATTAACAGATTTTTGGAATTAGCACTTGAAAAGCATAGATTTATAAAATGATCCAATTTAAAGAACAATGCATTTTAATGTTGACACCAGTGTCCTTAACTTTTAATCTGTGTAATCAACTTATAAGAAATATCTTGAAATCAGACCACTTTTAAAAAAAATTCCTGGGGCTTTATTATTTAGACAACCTAAAGGTCTTTACAAACATGTTTAACATTTATATGTATTTTACGTACTAGGTGTAAATTATTTATAGTTTATACTTTACCTATTGATGGAGTCACTTTCAATGCAGTGGCTCTTGCTTAACTTGGACTATTAAAATGTTTTTACTTTAGTTTGATTTGTATATGTTTTTTATACTAACAATGTATTTGCTTTTCATTGTTTATTTGTACACTACTATTAATTATTATTACTTGTTATTTATATATTTAAATATAATCTCTAATGTTTACTAATATTTATACTTATCTTTATAAAATTTTCATTAGGCTTTAAAATAATAAATAATACAATTAAATTTATTTTTCTAATAATAATGAAGTAGTTTGAACTAATTTATATATATATATATATATATATATATAAAGCATATTATTATATTGTAAAATAACTATCAAATAAAATTATTTTATTTACTATCATAAGTATAGGTTCATAACATAAATAGTATAAAATTAATTAAAATATTATAAAAATGTCAATGTTTAGGTTTTATTAATTGCTAAGCATTGCGTTTTTAACTGTCAATTGAAATATTCACAACATCCTGAAAGGAAAAAAGATCATTATAAAATAAATAATTGTAAATTGCATGTAATTGTCTTCAGTTATTAAAACATTTTATTGAAATATTATATAATGTGTAAATTAAAAGTTTAATTGTAAAAATAACTTGTTTTTCCAATTAGAAAGTAATAGTAAAAGTGTTTTCTGAAGTTCCATAATAATTCAAAAAAATGTGGCAAGCAAAGCAAAACACTGTTTTTTTTTATTAATGCTATACTCAGGCCAATCAAAATGTGTACAGTAAACTGATGTGAATGAACAAATTTGTGTGTCAAATTTAGTTTTTGGATAAACCCAAGTTTCAATTAATAATCAAAGAATACTATTCATCAACAATAAAGTATTTTAAATAAACCTATATTATTCTCAGTTAACCTATTCTGAACTTTCTTTTGATAATTTAACTCCATATTTATAAAAATATTCTACTTTATATGTACTCTTTTAATTTCATTATATATAATTTAATCATTATTATAATTCAAGGATTAATTTACTTACCTTTAATATAGATCTTATAGGTCCAGAGTCTATATCTTCAAGATCTATCTAAACTATAAGCAAATGTTGAGCTAGATACCAATGAAAAGAGTTTATAAATAGGTTTGTCCTAAATGATTTCTTACAACATAGATCTGGATTATCTACTTGTTGATAATTTTGTTTTTGAATATCCACATTGTTTGTAAGCGGAAAATCTTTTTTAGTAACATTATGAAATTTTAAAATATCAAATACTTATCTTTTATTCATTGTACCTAATAGTAATAATAATAATAATAAAAAAAAAAAAAACCATGACACTTCACAGTAAAAATATAAATGAAAAATAAATATTAATTAATAATATATTATATTGCACAGACTATAGAGTAAAGAGACAAGTCTATAACACTACTTCACAAGTGTCATGTATATTTTTGTTGTGATAAAGTTATCGATTAATATAGAGTATAATATGTAGATTATAAACTAGATAATAAAATTGGTTTTTTGTCATTTGAGCATAAATCTAAAAATAAATACAATACCTATTGGAAATTATAACAAAAAGCTGTATAGCGTATATACGTGTTATAAATAGACATCAATAAATTATTTTGTTAGCTGTAATTAAATAGTCTTAGTAATTTTAATTATCTTCAAGTAAAATAAAACTGGGGGAGCTAAGCCCCATTCTCTAATTGCGCCTATGGATTTGGGTAATTGGTGTTGAACTCAATTTTGAAACACTGTAGATAATTACATGAAAACCTATTTTTTTTCAAATATTTCATGCATGAGTTAGGATGTAAATCTAAAAGTTTGTGTAGTAGTTTATTGAATTTTATAATTATTCAATAATCTACCTTTGAGAATTGTAAGTTCAGTGTAAAGTGTAGTTTTCCTTTCAAAGTTTTGATACTTCTGCTGTTATTGAAATATGCCATTAATAAAGTTTTTTAAATTGTGCTGTTTGATCTTTTTTAATATTTAAAAATGTATGTATTAAATCATTGTTTGATGATGAAGGGGAAATTTGTGGATTCAATAAAACATGGCTACAAATAGATGGTCTTGAAATACTAAAAGAAGTTTTCAATAATACTTTGCTATATATTAGTATGTTACAATAGTGAATTTGTAAATTAAAGTAGAGTATGGTATAAATAATAGTCAATGTTGCAGACTCCTATTACTTTATTCACTAGCTTTAGGTAAAGTAATATGATAGATGGTTTGACTTAAAAGAAATATCAAGCAATAAATAAAGTAAGCAATAACAATGTCCTTAATTTTTTTAGTATCAAAACCGCTAATTTAGAATGAAATTAGAATAATAAGATGATATTATATTTTATTTTATTTTATATTTTGACATTTATTACACATCTTTATTAGAAATTTAAATGTAGATACATGTTAGTTGATATCTGTTGTAGGTAATTTATAAAAGTATATACCGCCGATAAGTATGAAAATAATAATACCATTTTAATACTCTAACATTGCATTCTAGTAAGTTTTACTGTTGTATAACTCATATTTTCTAAATAGTATTATGATTTTCAATTTAATCCAATTGTTTATGTTAAATAATTGAAATGTATGCAATTGGATGTGAATAATTTTTTTAATTTCTTTACTACAAAATAATAGCCATGATTTATTCTAATTCATTTTATAATTTTTAATGTAGATTAAGCACTGTATACTCTTTATTTTTTATCAAGGATTAAGACAATTTTTTTAATTTATTTCTGAGATCATCAGATTTTTTTGTTGTTGATTGATATTTGGTGTTATCATAACATTTTAAAAGTATCTTCTAGGTGATTATGATTAAGAAACAGGGGACATATGTGTTTTGAGTTTTTTTAAATGCATATATTTTGATGATAAAAATAAAATTATAGAAACCTTAACTATTTTATTAATTAAAATGCATATTTTATTCTTGTACATTTAATATATTTTTAGAACCATTAAATTCTTCTGAAGTATCTATTTCATCTACTGATGATAGCAATGTTAATATATCAAATGATGCGAAGGCAGTTGAACGTAAATCCAGATCCAGATCTCAGTCTTCTAATGACTCCTCAGATTCTCAGTCTGATTCTTCTTTACATTTAGCTTCTCAGTCCGTTATTAGCAATAGTTCTAAATCAAAGTCTGAATCTCGGCCAAGAGATATGTTGCGAAGTCGATCAAGATCAAACACAAAGTCAAAATCTCGATCAAGATCTAAATCTAGATCATCTTCAGTATCGTCAGTTGGCTCTCATTCATCCTTTAAAAAAAATAAAATAAAACGTAAAATTATATCTGATTCTGAAGACGATGATGATCTTCAAGTTAAAACTGAAGTCGATTCTGATGATGGCCAAGCTCAAGGTAATAATTATATACATATTCATTATAGACATTTATTTTATTAACCAATATTTTTAGAACCAGAGGATAACATAGTTCAGAAAAAAAAATTTAAAAAGGTTAAAATTATGTCAGATTCTGAATCCGAATCTGAAGAAGATGATGTCAAAAATATACTCCCTACAAGTCCAGTTGTTAGTATTAAAATTAAAATTAAATATATATTATTACTAATTTATATTTAAATTGTATAGGTACGTAAGGAGCATGCTATATCTGATGATGAAAATACAGAGAAGGTGAATATAGGTGAAGTGTTGCCAGAATTATCAGATGATTCTGATAAAGAAGATGAAGATGATCCAGGTGAAGTAATTGGTACAAGTTCTAAAAAAAGTAGTGCTAATAATGAAAATGAAGATGACCTCGATGATCCTGATGAACGCGATAATCATAATAGGTCAGTTTAAAGTCTAGAACGCTTCCTAATTTTTAAAACTAGTAATTTCAAAATTAGTTAAATTACTGCAAAGTTGGTTTGAGGACAATTACTTGGCTAAGGTTGTATGAAAAAATTGATTTTTTTAATATTCAATAAAATTAAGTGAAGCAATTATAAATCAATAATCATGTTTAAATGACCATTACCTCACTATTAGTTCATTAAATGTATTAAATTTGTTCACACGGTCTAGCAAATTTCTATTAGTTTATTTAGTGTTTAAATAGTGTTAAATTAAAATCAAAAGTCTAATTTATTTAATTTTTGAATCGATGAATTTTATAACTAACCTAATGGATTTATTTTTCTAAACATCCTTGTAATACAAAGTTTATATTTTTATGTAGTGATAATAATCCAATATCAGATTTTGAACTTATGATGATGCGAAAAAAAGAAGAACAATCACTGAAACGTCGCAGGAAGGATATAGATATTATAAATGACAACGATGATATTATTGCTGGATTAATTGCTGATATGAAACATGCTGCTGAAGTAATTAGATTAATAATGAAAAAATCTTATTTTAGAAAAATGATTTAAAATTGTTTTAATATACAGTTTTAAACTATTTATTTTACTAAATTATCTTTTTATTTCATATTTTTTTTTTTTTATGAATTATTTAGTGTGATCGACAATTAAACAAAGAAGGAAAACCCGCAATTAACAAAATAACTATGCTGCCAAAATGTTTATCACAATTAAAGAAACATAATTTGATGTTAGCTTTTATTGAACACAATGTATTAAATGTTTTCACTGATTGGTTAGCACCTATGCCAGATAGAAGTTTGCCTTCATTGCAAGTTCGCGAGTCGTTGATAAAACTTTTAGCAGATGTAAAATCCTAAGTAACAAAAGTATTTAAATATGTATTATTAATTTATTTATTTTTATTATAGTATCCTCCAATTGAACAATCTACTCTCAAGTACTCTGGAATTGGTAAAGCTGTTATGTATTTGTACAGACACCCCAAAGAAACTAAAGAAAATCGAGAACGTGCTGGCCGTCTTATAAATGAATGGGCTCGTCCAATTTTCAATTTGTCAACAGACTTTAAAGGTTAATTGAAAATAATATATTATGTACATTTTGTTTAAATCTAACTTTTATGATTAACTTTTAATTGTTTAATTTTAAGCAATGTCCAAAGAAGAAAGAGAAGAACGAGATCTGGAACAAATGCCTAGACGGAAGCGTTCAAGTATAGATGATAACAAACATGATGATGATGATGATGATGATGATGACGGGTAATTAAATAATGAACTTACACTTAACTGAATAATTTCTTCTTCTTCTCATATTACTTAATACTTAATAATTTTGTTATAGTCACTTTATAAAAAGTGGCAACTGACCTCGAAATTTACTCCACATCTTACTGCATCTGTAAACAGTAGTTTTCATAATTATTGCTTAGGAAAAAACGATTTTTACAAGCTAAATTTACGGCATGTAAAAAATTTAGTAATAACAATAAGTTGATTTTAATCACTTTCCAAAATTTTCTTTTTATACTTTACAACAGTGGTTCTTAACCTGTGGTCCGGGGGTCCACGGCAGCCTTACCACCTAATATAAGTTAATACGTGACATGAGTGCATTATTACAATATTTTTGGATTATTATTTTTGTTTCATATAAAATTATAATCTTATATTGTCTGTCACGGTGGGTCAATATAAAATAGTTATTATAATTTTGGTTATGATAACTTGATATGTTTTGTAAAAAAAGGTATTCGACAAAAAATTAGTAGGGGGGGTCCGTGATTTCTAAAAATATTTCATCGGAGGTCCGTGTTCTACATAAAATTAAGAACCGCTACTTTACAAGACAGATACGGTATGTCCAAATTTAACCATATTTTGTAATAATCATTCCAATTTAAAAAATAGTTTTAAAAGAAAATAATATTATATTAAGTTAAAAAATTTCATTTATATGCACTAATATATTTTTTTATATTAAGTCCAAGAACATTAAAACCAGGCGACAAAGGTTGGATAGCCAGAGCGCGTGTACCTACTCCATCTAATAAGGATTATGTGGTTAGACCAAAATCAGTAACAGATGCTGATATTTCAAGGGTAATTTAGTGTATATATTTAATATATTTAAATAATTATACAAAATTTATAACTAATCCACAAATGAAATTTGAAATGTGTAGGCTGTAAAGCGACCAATGAACCGTTTTGAAAAGCACTTGAAGAATTATATGGATAGTAAGAGAAATAATCAATCCAAGCGTGCAGTTCCGATTTCAATAGAAGGAAGAAAAATGGGGTTGTAATTATATTTTTATACTATACTTATTTTTAGGTCATTGTAAAAACTATATTTGATTATTAGTATATTTTCATTTTTCATTGATTATTAGTACTTAATTCAATAAGTTTATTAACTATAAAACAAATATTACTTTTAAGTACTTAACTTAGTCAACATTTGTATTAGTTTATTTTTAATTATCTCATAAAATTAATTACTTCTAATATTTTATTGATTTAAGTTTCTACTATAATATTTGTAATAATGAGTATTGCATTAGATCATCGTTTCTTAAACTGTGTTCCGCAGAGCTTAAGTAATTTTTTTAAAAATTCCAAGAAAATTACTTGAAAATATCTAAAGATTAGTAGCGGCTAGTAAGGAAAAAAAAACGTTTGAACAACTTTCATCAATTAAGCCCAATATTAAAAATATTTGTATTAATAAAAAGCAATTTATATTATTTCATTAAAACTAAAATTTAGTTTGATTAATGTAATTTAAGTATTATTATATACAATTATTATTATTTTTATTTTTATTTTAACATTTTTTTGAATTAAATACCTTAACACATTGTTATTATATGCGTAATAATTATAATTTTTATTGCAAATAATTCTATAAAAGCTAAAAACTAAAAAAAAAGTAAAGGTTCCACAATAAAAGTGAACATCAAAAAGGGTTCTGCGAATAATAAGGTTTAAGAAACGCTGCATTAGATTAATCATCCATTATGAACCAGTGGTGACAGTGGCGTAGTTATGATTTTGTTCTGGGGGGGGGGGGATATATAATTTATTGGATAAATATAAAATGAGGGGCTTATAACCATGCTCTTATAGCCTTGTATTGCATATTATATCTGTAATTATCACGTAATATAGATTATTTTATATTTTTATTTATATTGAGGAAAAATCAATGCATTGTTCATAAAAATAAAAAAGGTTATGGGGGGGAAAGGACCTATCCATATATCCTCTTCATAACTATGCTACTAGTGATGGCTAGTGTATACGTACACTACCTACTCAAATTTAAGAAAAACTAAAAACATAAATCATAATAATATCATTAAAAGTGTTAATTTGGTATACACTTTGTAAGCTTTCCCTTTCTACACTCGGTATAATATGTTAAGTGGGCAAGACTGTTCGCCCAAAAATAGTATAGCACTTTTTGACCATATTAAAAATTTAATACTTATCTACAATGATTCGCTCAATATCCTATAAATATAATATCTGCAATATAATGTATATAATGTCTACAATGGTCCGCTGTTGAGATGGATCTATTTCAGTGTTATTTGCTTATTATTTTATGAAGATGAGGAAATAATTTTATAGTAGCCTTAATAATATTTAACAACTGTTTTAGTGTAGTTTTGTTTAGTTTCGAGTCGAAGTGCGTTTATCGATGGTAATTTTTATATAATATTATTGATAGTAGTCTATGTGACATCTATAGCACTAATTTTTGCACACAGGGGACGATTTTGTAAATTTAAGTGAAATTGTAGAGTTCTTGGAAAGTAAAGGAGGATATTGTATCATAGTATATATTTTTAAATATAACTTTGGATCGATAAGTAAAAAATACGGCTCTACTCGTCAGAGATGTATTACAAGAACTTGTAGTGTACTAATATATTCAGACAAGAATGATTCTTTTATTTCAACAACTGGAGAACGAATCACGACTCTTACGATCTAACAAATATTCATCCCAAAATTGTAAATATATAATGTAAACGCATAAAGTTGTTGAAGATATGCATATACAACCGAAAAAAGTAATTTAAAGCAAATCGTTCTCAATGACCACGCAGTATCAACATTTACTGTCTGATATTAATAGATTGAGAAAAAATATAATATGTAAAGCTCGTAAGTGTGTATACACTTATTGATACAGAAAAAATAGTTTCTACTTGACAAGTGATTTACACAAATAAATAATAAAGTATTTTCAAAAGTGTGGTAAACAATCGATGTAATATTTTTAAGCGAAAAGGGAAAGTAGCTTTAAAATATTTGGGCAAAAAGACACGGGTGAAAAGCGAAAGGTCACTTTTGGACGTAGAGTACCGCCCGCGTTAGGTATGGGGATATTGGACAACGAATGTACAGTGTACCTATATGAGTTATGTGTATCGTTTTTATAATATATGACAGGGATGAGCAACTCAAAATTACTAGAGAGTAGAGAACCAATTTTTAGAAAATTAAAATTAAGCGGGCCAGAACATAGGAAGCAAAAATATGTTATTTAAAAATATGCATTTGTTTAGTTTATAATGTGAATATTTTAACTTTAAAATTGTATGATATAATTTAAAAATGTAACACAGGCTGAACGAAGTGTCTCACAAGCCGAGGTTTTGTACATGAGTTGGTAAATCACCAAATCTCATTTGTCGATTCAAATACAGTAGCCTACATTAGTAACACTGAGAGATCATAGTTTGATGCAAAAATTGAATTATTGAAGAAAATGAGAGATGTTCCTCTTAATCATTTGCAGTCCCATCTTGATCAATATATAACCTAACCTTTTTGTTGCTATGTTAGAAGATTGTGAACTATCAATAAAATAAAACTACGTATGTTGAGCGCATATCGAATCAGAAACTTACAATAAAATTAGCACCGAATTAACACCCAACTAAGTACATATAGTGTTATTAAGATTATGTTTCAAAATATAAAAATAATATAATACATTCATGAAATTGGGTTGTTTCTAAGGCCAAACGGCTGTCTGCGCCAGAAAAGTATCGGTGTGTAGTCATGGGAGAAATCTGGGGGCAACTGCCTCTCCAGATACTTTATTAATTAAGTTATAAATTATAATTTAATATCTATTTTATCATAGAAAAATAAAACAGCATAATACTTCGTACCTTATATAATTAATAATAAATTTAGGTATCGTTTTGAGTGATTTATATTGAAAGAGGTAGATTACTTAAAATTGATCAAGTAATTGACGAATTTGATGAAGGTTAGGTTAGGTTAGGTCGTGCTCGTCGATTTATGTTAAAATAAATTAGCATGTATAATACGTATAATTTTTAGTAATTTTATTAAGTTTTATATCCTTTTATCAGTTTTATGATGTAAATAAAAAAAATTTACGTCATTAAGTATTATTTATTTATTAATTCACTAACGCATTTTTAGTTTTTCTACGGCTTAACCCCTCCTCCCAAGAATTAACTCCAAGTTACGCCACAGTGTATAGTAATGCAGTAGTAAACACTTATACAGTGTAAAAATTAAAACGAATCAAAACACGCAACCCGTCTTTTAATGGAATGGATGTGCACATTATTCAATTATTTTTGATGCCATAGTTGCGTGAGACGGTATTATAATTTATTTATTGTCAGCTGATAATATCCGTCGATTAAATAATTAATATCGTAAATTTAAAACAACAATCGTGTTTCTGTTGTCTCCGTTAACAATTATTTAATACAATCTATAGACTTTAATATATATATATATGATATTAGTTATTTTTTCGAGGATGTGCACTATTTCATTAAAAACCTATGAGCCATAATATGAACACAAGTAAGGTATACACTATACATTTTATTCAATTGTAGTAAGACAAAATAAAATAAAAAATAAAAAAGTACATATAAATTTGTTTTATTTATTCTCAAAGTTTTAACATTTGTATATTATGTTTAAGTTGAGGTTTATACTTCTTCTTCTTCTTCTTCTTCTATGATTACAATTGAAAGTAATGCTAAGTAATGCTCTTGAGTATTTGAATATCAGTTTTCAAATAATCTTCTTCAGTAGGTAGTAGTTATTCATTAAAATAATCAAACATTAGGATACAGAGACCATGCATTGGTTTACTTTCCTTTCTCATCTCGCAGCATGGATAATGATGTATTATTCAATGGTCTATAACAATGACAGATTTTGTATTATGTAAATATTTTCAAGTCATTTTAAAACCACTACTCACTAGCTGTGAGTAACTTAAACATTTTCAATGATTGAATATGAAGAAGAATGAAAAATTTAATCTTTAAAACACTAAATAGATTCAGTTTATAATCCTTAGATATTATAGTTCCACAGTATCACAATATTAATTTTTTTTGTTAAAAAATTATCCAGAGGAAAATAATACATAATTTATAAAAACATTGTTACTACAGATACCGATAATATATTTTTTTTGGTGGTCTGTTGTGGCATGGTAATTGATTTCTTCAATTATTAATGTGTTCTGAAGTCAAGCATCGCCTGGTGTGGCTAGCTTCCGGATGGTCGATCATCCAGAATTTTAGTAACAAATTCTCATCCATGCCATATATTCACTAGTTCCAAAAAAGAAAACAGTACCCTCCCCCACAGTAAAAATCGACTATAGGTTAATAACCATTGCAGTTGAAGCCTAAAAAAAAAAAAAAAAATAAAATAAAATATTTTGATTTAGTTCAAGTTTAAAATAATACTGTTTATTATTATAAGCATTATACATTGGTAACTAGTAACGCACTTGTTAAATTTTTACAGATAAATAATTAGACAAGTAAACAATAATAATATAAAAATATTAAAATAATTGATTTAAAAACTTTTTATATAAGCAATATTTAGTAACAAGGGTATTTTATAATCATTATATAAAAAGGTAAAACGAATAGTTAATAATAATAATATACGTCGACTCTAGACATAGGACTGGTTTAAATTATCGTTATAATTTAAACATACTATGTTTTATGGTAATTTTAGTTAACTTCAATGTAATTAATAAGAAATATCAAGAACTTTCATTATTAATCACATTTTATGTTTATAATTTAACTTTTTTATTATGTAAATATTTTGACTTTCTATTATAAATGTATAGTAAAAATTTAATATTTGTATTAATTTCTTTGACAAATTAAACAACATTAAACATGAAAGTCATACAAACATTATACAAAATTGTTCAATATTTTTCAATTAACAATAAACTATATGCTTTTAAAAGAGATTTTAAATTAAGAACTGTGTGTGAACTAATCAAACATCTAATATTTCTATTTTGCACACAAATTAATGAATTATACAAGTAATCAAGAGAAAATCATATATAAAATGTAATCAAGGTTATAAAAATGCTAAGAAAATTCAATTTTCGTTACATTCTACAAATGAAGGAATCAACAACTGAGTTGATTATGTGAATTTAGTTTTGGTATATTTCATATATATTGTAATGGATTTTTGGACTTGATTTATTGAATCAAAATACAATTAAATAATGGAATAAGTCGATACCACGATTACTGTAGAATATTTATAATTTATCCAGCATATCATCATGTATAAGACATATTCTCCATTAAAGTATATTTTTTATGTTTATTTATAATAAACGAAAAGTATAAGTTGTTGCTATTGTACACTCATGTTATTTTATTAATCACCCATTTTCCAAACAATAGATTCGCTGGTTATAGCTGATTTTAATTTAATTGTATTCAATCGTTTGATATTGATAAGTTTTAAAGGATGTTTTGGTTTACGTATAGCGGATATCTGGCTTACTTTACTCGACGGTAACGATAACAGTTTAGCGGGAGATGCTTTAACGATTTCCGACGATATTGATGTGGAAATATTGCTTATATTATTGACAATACTTTCAGTTGAACCTGTGGGAACTAATTTGTCTTCTGTATTTTTATTAGACGTAAATTCTGAGGTGTTAGATATAGTGGATGCAGTGATAGTGGTCGTAGAAACGATCGCAGTGGTAGTAGTGATATCTGAGATGTTATTGGATACACAACTTGTGGTGGATACGTCAGTGACAGTGATAGTTGAAGTGGGAATTTCTACGGTAATTGCATTGGTAATTGTAGATGATTCAGAGTTAATGTTAGCCGAAGCGGAATCATCAATGACAGTTGTTGCGATATCTGTAATTGAATCACCAACGATGGTTGAGGAAACTTCGGAGGCTGTATTCGTTGTGGTAGAGGCTTGAGTTGTAATCATAGTTAAGGTTTTATATTCTTCTACAACGGTGCTGTCAGCAATAGTACTATTGTCAATATTGTCATTAACAGTTGAAGTAATGTCTGATGTGACGGCGACTGTATCAGTAATGGTGGAGATTTCGGTGTCCATGACGGTTGTGGTAGAGTCGGCGACTGCAGTAATTAAATCTGTAGTGTTTGTGGCCAAAGAGGCCATTTCGATAGTAGTTAGCTCTTCACTGGCTGTGATTTCTTCAACAATGGTAGAAGAAATGGGCGACGCAGCAGAGATGATATTGGTCAAAGCTTTAATGGTTGCGGTAGTGACAGGCGTAACATTAGTAGTGACAGGCGTAACAATAGTAGTGACAGGCATAGCAGTAGTACTTATGCGTAAAGCTATGACATGTTTTTCGTTATCATCACCATCGTGCAGTAGAGACGGCTTATGTACGACGTTTATTTTGGGTGAAATAGATTCCTGCTCAGGTTTATAGCTGGATTTAGAAGTTGTTTTGACAGGGATTATGAGTGAATCTGAATTTTTATCGACTTCACTTACTTCACATTTATTACTCAAATAGCCAATATTTGTAAGGTCATTACAGTGACCGTTAATATGTGATGGCATTTTATATTCTTTAGGTTTTTGAAGACTGTGTATTATACGAGGAGAAGTGTTTTTAGTATAAGACTTTCGTTGATGGTCAATGGTTTTATTGTTTTTTACAGTTAAGTCTCCTAAATTACGGCATGATTCCAATTTTAGCAGATGGTTGACAAATTCCATTCCGCTAGGATAAGCAGTCTTGAGATTCTTATATAATTGGATTATGTCTGGTGTGGTTGTGGAGGATGACAATATTGATGGACTAGCTTGTCGGCGATTGGACTTGGAAAACTCAATATGTGGTGACGTAGGCCGTAAATCTAATGTATTCTTAAGCGATTGATCGGTTTTTATTTCAGTTGGTAATTTTATCGGTGGAACTAAATCTGGAGTTTTCACATAATTTTTCGGTGCAGAAAATTTTGAAGTAAAAAATGGTTTTAGAACCGGTATGAAAACTGGTTTTGATCTGTGATTAACAATTATAGGTTTATTATCTGGAATTTTAGGTTTATTAACTAGAGTCGCAACTGGAGTTGAAGTTTTATCAACAGGAATCGTAGGTTTTTCAACCGGAGTCATTAATTTATCAACTTGGATTGTAGGTTTACCCACTGGAATTATAGATTTATGAACTTGAGTCATAGGTCTATCAAAAGGGACTGCAAATTTATCAAATGGTACCATAGATTTTTTAACTAGAGTCGTAGATTTTTCAACTGGGGTCATAGATTTATCAACTCGCGTTTTCGGTTTTTTAACTAAAATTTTAATTTTACCATCCAGTAGAGTTAGTTTATGAACTGGCATATGGTGATTTCTATAGTTTTTAGTTACAGTTAAATGTTTCAAAATATATTTTTTATTTCTTGGTACAGGTGGACGTTTATCGAGAAATTTTAATTGTGTCTTTTGATTGAATTTTAAAGCTGATAGATTTTTTGCTGTGCTAGTTAATACTGTAGATATTGGTGCTTTAATCATTGTTCTTGTCGTCATTAGTGGCGCTGTTTCTATTGTCGTCGTTACAACGGTCGTTGATGGTTGTATTGATGTTGACTCCGTTGTTGATTTTATTAACGATGATAATATTTTTGTTGATTTTGTTAACACCGAAGACATAGGTTTTTCTGCTTCTGGTGTCGTAATTATCGATCTTGTCATTGTCGGCCTTGTTCTTATCGTATTCGTTGTAATGGCTATTGTAGTATTAACGAATTCTAATACTGACGATACAGGTTTAAATGTAATAGATGAATCTTCAGTGAAAATATTACTTTTCTTCGTTGGTAAAGATTTAACCGTTAATAATTGATCGTCTCCCTCTGTTTTTTTGGTATTTATTTCACATTTTTCTAATTTCATAGGTTCTAATCCTTTCAATTTTAATCTACAATGATTTATGATCCTAAAAATAAACATAAATTAATTACTCACGACTCAAGAGTTTTTAAATACATAATGATTTTATGTATTCTACATTCTTACCTTATGCCCCATCTAATTAATAATTGAAATACATCTAATACAACAGTTAACGTTGTAAAATATGTTAACGATACATATCAATATAATAATGTTAATGCTTTATCCTGTACGAATATTATAATAATTATAATTTTATAATCTTCATTAATGATGAGCTATATTTTACTAATTACACTGCCATTAAGGAACGGATTGAGATATCACACCAGGAAAGGAAAATTAATATTAACAGACCCAGCACCGGATATAGGGGGGGCAATCTGGGGCACGTGCCCCAGATACTAGTCATAAAGGGGCACAAATTTTTAATTATGTAATAAGTAAAAAAAAAAAAGGTTATTGATATAGAAGGGCGCTAATTTCATATTTTGCCCCGGGTTAAAAAATTGTTAGATCCGACATTGAACAGACTCATATTTGGTATAAATGATAAAAAAATTATGAAGACATTATATATAATAATAGATAACAGTTGTACGGTATTAATTATAATATTAGTTAAAATTAAAATTAAATTACAACTCTTTTTTACTTAAACTACTATTATTATATTTTTGACTATTTAATATTTAAAAATTTGAAAACTGCACTACCTTTCTTTTTCTTAAGTACATAAATATTTGATAAATTATATTAGTGTGATACTTATTTGAGATCGTGTTTTATTGCGCGCAATCACAACTTATTATTTATTATTTAGTTGCTGATATACTAATGTGAAATATTTATTATTGCTATTTTAATTTGCATTGTTCGTTTAAGCCCGTAATAAACCCATAGTTTGTAGCTACAGTGAAGTACAAGATGTGCTGACCGCGATCCTGTTAACTCGTTAGTATGCGATCCATAAAGAATTTCGTGATTGTCTGACTACCCTATCTACCGTGATTAGCCATACCTGAATAAAAACTGCTCGAAAAATCTCTAGAACATTATTTCTATAGATTTGCAGGTGAACATACTGAGTTATTTGGATAATTTTATTCAATTATATGATAGAAATTATAGAATTTAGAATAATCAACCGAGGAATATATGTATTTTTTTCCATTTCATATTAGATTTAAAATCATAAAATCAGTACCTTGTTTTAGAAGCGTTACAGTGCTTTGCTAATTCTAATGACATTTTTGTAGATTTATCTCTTGGCAGCAATAAATAAATATGACATGGCTTACAAATAAGGATGTCATATTTTATTGTTATAGGAATTTCATCCCGATCAAGAGTCAATTGATATCGTTTCACTACGGACTTATGCAACTTATATTTTTGTATTGTTCGATTTCCACACAACTGGCATTGAGATATAAACAGTATCTACAAAAACATCAATTTAAATTTAATATTTTCAATATTAATTGATCAATTATATCACAAGGTTTATTTCAATATTGTGTAAGAGTAAGACACAGGTACACTAATATTATTTAACAACCTGTTCATAATGTGCATTGCAAACAGGAATTTTATGCATTGCTCCTTCCTCTTTAGTTTGAACTCTAAGAGTGATCTAAAATTAACATAAACATAAATTTATATAAATTATGAGTATTAAATACACACGTATGATTAATGGTAAAAAATAAAGTTATTGATAACATTTTTTATTTTTCTAAACTAAGACCACGGACGATTATACTTCTAATATGTGTAGTATACAGTTAAACGTACAAATAGGTGTACTAAAAATTTATAACTAAAAGACATACACACTTATAACATATTTAAAGTTAAAAATATACAATAAAAATTGATCCCGTATATGTTTTTATCATAATATATGTATATTATATACAGTATATATAATATATATATATTATATTTTCTATTATCTATTTTATGCAACTTATACGATTACTTTGGTCGTCCAATAACACTTTTGAAAACATATTCGATTTCGTTATGAAATTTACTTGAAACGAATGAGTAAATTTTTAAGTTAAAATATTAAGAATAAGTGAAAAAATAATTAAAAAGCAGTTGGATTTTGTTTTAAATAAATTTTTTGATGAATTAAAAAATATTTTCAGAAATTTTGAGGGAAATAAGGTATCTAGTTATGATTCAATTGGCAAATTTGATATTTTTGAAAAAATAAACATAATAGTTAATTAATATTCGTATATATTTCATATTTCGCATTATTAATATGTCCGGGAGCGATCCGCTATTTTTTTTTAAACAGTCAGTTACTTTGCATACAAAGGCAGATTTCTCAATAGAAATAGTAAGTAGCTGCCTAGAGTTGCAAAATTGTACGGATGGAAAATTTTATATATTAAATCATTCACACGCATAAAAAAAAATATTGGAAAACTTCTTGTTTTATGTTTAAGCAAAATAATTGTATGATAATGTATACATCTACTTTGATTTGTTATAATTTAAAGTCATAATAAAGTCTTAAAAATGATTCACAAGTTTGTTGTAGGTACATGACATGCAATTCTGATGCAGCCCTTTATTTGAAGTAAGGTTATTTGAACAATTGAGTCAAGTCTTTTTGTTTCATTATCATAATATGAAGATATTATGAAATCATTCGTTAATCAAAAAACAAGATGTTAATTTCTAATAATAAAATGGTTAAGTTAAGAATTGCAATGTAAAAATATTTATCATAGTATAATTATATTCCTATTATTATAAAAAATGTAGTAATGTATTACTTCATTTTCCAAACAATAGTTTTAATTTTGTTTTAAGTAGGGTAAATAATTTAAAATGAGAATCGATAGTTATTAAAAAGTTAAATCCACACCTATCTATACACAATAATTACATGACTCGCAGTTATTCATTTGGAAATTGCCTATATAGAACTCCTTAAAAGGTAAGTTATACAAAATGGCAGAAAAAACTTTTTACTTAAAATATTATACATTTTCATTACATAATATATTACATTTTTATATTTCAAATTAAAATCAGACTAACGGTATTGCGCTGGTTCAGTTACGTATTGCTCATTTGGAAATTACCTATATAGAACTCCTTAAAGGTAGGTAGCAAGAATGGCAGAAAAACTTTCCGCAAAATATTATACATTTCATTACATACTATATTACATTTATGACTTTCAAATTAAATCAGACTAATGAATGAATATCAAACTAAATAATAA